GAGCTGTTGCTCATCGTGCTGTCCATACTGACATGCATTGAGTCCAGCTACGATAAGGAGACGCAGCGCGTCCTTGCCGTCTTTACCATACTGCTGGTCGCCTTGGAGTTTTGCCTGCTGGTCGGCTCGCTGCCCGTGCTGTCCATATCGACGCACATGCTCATGCTGCGCGCCGTCTCCAGCAGTTTCAGCAAGTGCTTTGCCCTCTACTCGATCTTTGTGCTGACCTTCAGTTTGTGCTTCTACATACTCTTCGGCAAGCCTCAAGATCAGCCCGATCAGCCTGCTTCGGAACCGTCAGCAGCTGTGAAGAAGGAGGAAGATGGGCACTTCAATACCTTCTCGGTGCCGATTGAGGCTTTGATCAAGACCATTGTCATGCTGACGGGCGAGTTCGATGCCGGCGATATCAAGTTCGACAGCATTTACACCTACTTCATCTTCCTGCTGTTCGTCTTCTTCATGACCATTGTGCTCTTCAATCTGCTCAACGGTCTGGCCGTCTCCGATACGCAGGTAAGCCGGGCAAAAAATGCTCCAAATCCAAATACAAGATACCAATTCTTTGCAGGCTATCAAGGCTCAGGCGGAGCTGAATGGCGCCATCTGCCGCACCAACACGCTGACGCGGTACGAGCAGGTGCTGACGGGTCGCAATGGACGCACCGGGTTCATTGTAAACATAGAGCCCGTGCGCAGCATTTGCCAGCGACTGATGAACATCTATCCGAACTATTTGTGTGTGCGCCAGATCTCCGTGCTGCCCAATGATGGCAACAAGGTGCTCATACCCATCACGGATGCCTACGAGCTCAAGGAGCTGAGCAATGCCCATGGCAACGGTAAGAGCCGAGCCAGCTTCCAGCCGCTGGCCACAAATGCGGAGCAGCAGAAGAAGCTGCTCGATCCGCCGCTGAAGCTGCTGCCCTGCAGCTGCTCGGCGCTGACGGGGCGATGCTCCAAGATTGATAATCGCACCGTGAAGCTGGCGCTGGCCGTCATCGATCAGAAGTCCAGCGTGGAGCAGAGGCGTCAGCGCGAGCAGATCAACGAGCGACGTCTCCAGCACATGGAACAGAAGCTGGAGCACATACTGCAGCTGCTCCAGAACAGGGATTAGCCGGATACCAGTGCCTAGATAGGATATAGAGATCATCCACAGCCACGTCCGAGTCCTGCTTGCTTTGTAGTCAGAAATGGTTTTATTAACATACGAATATATAAATATAATGAAATTTAACAAAACCCTTAAGAGCTATTAACTGAATGCAAATAATCTCTATTACGATCTGTCCAATATATATACTCTATATATATACAATTGAAAAACTAAAACTGAAAACAATTTGTTTTGCTATTTTGTTTATAATGTTTCTCCCTCTTCTCTCTGCTTGTTATTGTTTATAAATAATTATGTATTCAACAAATTCTCTGGTTCTCTTTGATTTTGGATATACCATATGTATATATCTTTCCTTCTAACATTCAGTTTTCAGTTAAAAATTGGTATTTTCTGTTTTTGGGTTCGACATCAGTTAATAAATTTTGACTTTTTGATAAGTATACGCATAAGTATTTAGTATAAGTATAATGATTATATAATATTTAGACAATAAATATTGTATAAACGAATGTCTTTACCCGAGTAAATATATATTTTATTGCGAATGTTAGCATTATGTTTTCACGGCTGATATGATTCGGTTCAATATCTGACGCTATATATATATATATTATCATTAATGATCTGTAGCTGGCCAACTAATACATAAGTATGTATATATATATATATAAATCGATTGGCTATGAGGAGCGTGACGGATCAAAACAAATCAATTTTATGGCTCTTAACGAGGCCAATTGAAACAAATGAGCGATGGTTAAAACTAATTTGTTATAAACAATGTGCTAATAATGAAGTTTCTGATCGGTTTTATGGATTGATTTGTCTTTGATCCGTGTTGCAGTTTTTTTGTTTTTCTTTTGAGCGCAGCTATGAATATAATATATATATATATATATTATAATTTGAAGCTATGCGGCTATTAAGTTAAAGTTAAGTTACATTTGTTTATATTTAGGCTGAGGACTAAAAACGCATTGCTAATATCAAAAAACTGTACGCTTAACGCATTAACAACATTTTTTTTCTTTTAGCGGCAAATTAAAAATAATTGACATTGTTTGCAGAGCATGTTTAAACAATTTGTATGCCCGCCTCACTTATTATTTATTATTTTTATTATAATTATTATATACTTTATGTTTGATATATATGAAACGTTAACTTTTTTGAACCTCAACGCGTTAAATGTACAACAAATAAAATCGTGTATTCGTATTCTGTAAGGCATGCCTAATCAAACCAGCTGTACTGTACTTAATTGTTATTAACTATATGTACACATACAATTTATAGGTAATTCATGTATTTGCATTTGCATTTGTTGTTGTATTATTTTTATTTTCTTCTTTTTTTTTTTTTTAGAACCTGTTCGGTCCGCTGCACTGCGGTGCTATGAGCTATGGTTAAATGCATAGGACTGTTTTGTTGTTGTTCTTTTTTGCTTCTGCTGTGTTTGGTACATTGTTCGATTTTTGGACTTCTATGGGTCTGCCCATGGGATCTATGGGAACTGCAGCGTGGGGTTTTTTTTTTGTTAAATTTTGTTAATTTGTTTGGATTTGAAGCTCTGGCCCCTGGCACAGGTTGCGTATTAATAATATATGCCTCCGTTCGTTTTATTGTCGTTATACTCTATGACTAAATAAAATGTTATCGTGTTTTGGGCTTATTTTTAACTATAGACGCGATTATGCCAGCCTAATCAAAAGAGTACATTTTAGTTAAGCAATTATTTTAATATTAAAGACACAATTCAAATTAAAGCTTGTTCATTTTTTTTTTGTTTTTGTTGTTGCTGGTTTCTATTGCTATCATTTCTGTTTTATGTACAAATCGAAATATGAGTTCTATTGTAAAAACTACATTATGGTACAATACACATATATATATATATATACATAATTATGTGTATATGTATATATATATGGGTATGCATGTATAATAATTGTTGCAAATGGTTTTTATGCCTATGTACCAATTATAAATATCACTTAATTGACGAGTGTTTGGTTTCTGTCTGTTGTATTCAATTAAATATTACAATTATTATTCATTTCATATTCATTTTTAGCAAATTTGTTAACAATTCTAATTAAAAGTTATATGATCTTAGATTTTGTCATTTGTTTGTGTAAAAATTGCAGTTAAAATCACAAGTGTGTACGTCTTTGTTTGTATTTGTTTGTCTTTGTTTTTTTTTTTTTTTTTGTTGTTGTTCTTGGAGAAAACAATTTAGTTGGTACCATAATTTCAATTTTTCATCAATCGCCGTCTGATTGTCTGTTGTTTAGTTAGAGATTAGAGTATAGAAGTGTCTGTGTTAAGAGGGGCTAGTTATACTGTTCGATGTTAAAACTTAATATATGATTGCATGCAGCTAAGTAAACACAATCCATTTGTGATCTCACAGAAAGTTTCTTCGAAACTTTGGCCGAGGCCCAATAAAATAGAATACAAATATAAGTATATATTTAAATATAGTTAGTAATAATTAATGTATATATATTGTATGTATATATATATATCATCAATGTTTTGTGGAAGCTTGTATAGAAGAGCATTTATGCAATTTTGATTTCACAATTAGTTAGACTAAATACAAAGAAAAAAAAACAACATTTGGTAAGTACACGATATAGCGTTTAGTTTCCGTACAATAAAAGTTCTCACTGGTACACAATGCACATGGCTTAGGTAGGACTGCGGCTCAAATGGCCTGTAAGTTTGGTACGTTTATAGGTATTACGGAATATAGATTATGTTATGGTAGTGTGGGTTAATGAGTGAGTAAATGTTTAAGCAAATGCCCGACTGGGCATTTACTGGATTAAATTGTTTTCGATTGCTTTTTTGTTTTCGGTTTTTGGAATTTTTTTTGAAATCACTTGACTTTGTTTTTTGTTTGGCTATAGTTTGAGTTGTTCTTGTTCTTCATCTAGAATTTGTTTTGAGAAATAATGCGAGTATTGAAAAACTATCGTATAATACTTCTCATTTTTTTTTTTTTTGTACTTATACACTCGGTATGGCTATTATATATATATAATCTAATCGAACGGAAAGAGAGTTTGGAAAATAGGGAAAACCTGTCGTAAATATTTCATTCAATTGTCGCTAACTAATTTTTATAAATAACGTATGCTTGTTTTTTTTTTTAGATAGAATGTTTGCTATGAATAGTTATGTATGTATATAATTAGCTTTAAAATACTTCCTTTGGCATATGTACAAGTACATATATATATATATTAATATATTATATATATATATATATATGTATTTATTGCATTGAAGAAAAACAAACTCTATCTTTACGAATACGGGCCTAAGTCTACGACGCGATTGTTAGTTACAATATGTATGTAGGTATATATCTACGTATGTATCGTATCGTATTGTATTGTATTGTATTGTATTGTATTGTATAATTAATTAAAAAACAACCTTTAAAATATCTTCGAAATCGGTCACTTGGCTGACTGATTGATTGATTGACTGACTGACTGACTGACTGATAGACTGACATAACGAAAAACCAACCAATTAGTTAGTACCTATTTATACATAACTATATCATATATCAAGTTAATGTTAATGTTAATGTTAAATTTTACCATTAATGTTAGTGTTTTAATTTGATTTGAGTATTACAACGTGTACGCACTGTACGGGTTAATGCACGTTTTGTTAACACAGAGTTTATATTGATTTCGTAAACTAAACTAGGACTAGGACTAGGACTAGGCTACACTTGGCTGGACGCACAGCGCACTGTTGCCAAGACTTATATATATTTATATATATATATATGATATAAACATTGGATAGTTCTGTTTAAGTATCGTATAAAGCGACTACGTATATATATATATATATATATATATATATTAATCGACTAGAATAACAAAGGGGCAAACGTTCGCCCCGTGCCTAGCTCTAAGCAATTAAAAATACTCGCCCATACGCACATTGAATGTGCTCTCAGACTGGAGATTGTCAACTTGGACGCTGCCCGACGGCACCAGTTGACTGGCTAGCTGTTGAGGTGCTGCTGCTGGCGCTGCTGCTGCAGCTGCTCGTCTCGCTGCTGCTACTGCTGCTGCTAACCCTACCTGTGTGCTGCTTCTGTTCCGGCTGTGGCAGCTGCGCTTCCATGTTAACTGAAGGTCATCTCTGTTTATCTTCGGCATCGGGCGGCGCTTGCGGCTGCTCCTCCAATGGGACTATATCATTTGTATTATCAAGATTGGACTCGGGATTGTAGTCATAGAACACTTGCGATGTATCGCCCTGCACATTTACATCGATGGGCGCATCCACATCGATCTTCGGCGGCTGGGGCGGCGTATAGGCAGCATTTGGATAGCTGCTGTCAGTGCTGAAATCGCCACGTGGCGGCTCCTTTGGGCTGTCGACCATTATTTGTACCGTGGGCATTAGACTGCTGTCCATGGCGCTCTCGGATGAGCCTGTGCTGATCCGTATTTGCGGAGGTTTTGGCTTCTCATGACCATTGCCGTTTGTCGAGCCATGGCCAGGCGATGATAGGCTACACTCGTCCTCCTCCTTATACTCCTCGCTCTCGCGATGCACCAGCACATGCACCAGCGTCGCATTGTCCGGCCGCAGGCCGAGTGCATGCACGTGCGGATGCGTTTGCTGCTCCGGCGATGGCTTCGTCACAATCACCTCCGGTGCCGGAGCCTCCGCTGGAAGGGTGCAAAAAAGGGAAACACATGAGTCTGACTGCTCCAGGGTATAAAGTAACGGTTCACACATACAGACATAAGCGTTCTTGTTAACTCTTAAAGCGCTTTGTGCTGACAAACCTCTTTCTAGGGGCGGTTTCTTGCGTATAAAACTAGACGCGCGCTTACGCGTTGGAGTTGGCGCCACCGGTTGTTGGTGCTGGTGTTGCGTTTGCTTGTCACTTTCAACGTTGGTGGCGCTAGCAGAGACGGAGGCGGAGGCAGAGGCGGATGTGGAGGTTGAGGTTGTGGTGTTGTTGGTGTTCATTGCAGCTGTTGTTGGTGAAATGCTCGCATTAGTGACAAACAATTGTGATTAGCACAGTATACAAAAGGAATGTGTCATACGGGGCAAAGATTAAAGTTTATTCAAATCGGGATTAATAGAGTAGTAAATAGTATGTGAGTAGCAGGTAAGTAGTAAGTAATAGGTAAGTAGTAGATAAGTAGATGAGTAGTAGGTAAGTAGGAGATAAGTAGTAAGTAATGCGTAAATAGTAGGTATGTAGTGAGTATGTGATTATGTAGTAGATCAGTTATAGTAAGAAGGTACTAAATAGGTAGTACATATCAGTAAGTAGTCAGTATATAGCAAGAAGTCGGCGTATATGCAGTAAGTGGTGAGAAAGTAGTTGGCAAGTAGTAAGTAATGAGTGATGAGTAATAAGCAATGGGTAAATAGTAGGTACTAGTTCTGTAATATTCAAAAGGTAGTAAATAGTCGTAGTCAATATGTAGTAGGGTGTAAGTAGTCAGTAAGTTGTATATAAATGGTTCATAGGTAATAAAAAACACTAAATAAATAAAAATGATTAAGTAGGCAGTATATAGTCGGTCAATAGTTATTAGTATAAAAAGTAAGTGGTTTAGCAATTAGTGAGTATTGGGAATTTAGTTGGTAAGTAGTAAGATCTCAAGGGAGGTGTACTTAAAAAGTAAGTAGTATTCACGTAAGTAAAAGTGAAGATATTGAAAGAGTATGTCATGAGGTAAACGATTAATAAATTGCAGGTGTCTGTACAACGATGAGATTTGATTGGCAAAAGCAACGTTTGATGTGCGATTATCACAATGTTAAAGACTCGAGAGAGATAAAGAGAGAGACTTAAAATCCACATGATAATGATTCATATATAAATTTATATACTGAGTACATGTTAGACGTATGTGCGCATAGATAATATATAATTAATTGTTGGTGCAGTCTATGTTGGCGGCTATGTACAAGAGAATATATACACAAACATTGATTGATTGATTGATTGATTGATTGATAGTGATAGATAGTTTGATTGAGTGGATTTGTTGGCTGTGTTTAAGGCACTTGTCAATAATTACTTTTTCTATGTACTGAAGGTGAGGTTAAGCTGTCATCGACAGCATCCTGATGACGCAAAAAGAAATTATAAAAGCTTCGGCGACGATTTGCTCTAGGCGCTTCCACAAATATGCTACCGCTAATGATAGTAATTGGAAATGATAATCGATAGAAAAGAAAACCATAAATTTTAATTGATATTCATTCGTAATTAGAAACTGTAGAATATAGAGATAATTATGACAGATAATAGGATACAGATACGTGTCAAAAATACTCTGTATCTTTGCAATTTTTTGACGAAATTACGGATTCAAGTTGTCATAGAACTGTACAAAAAAGCTGCAATTTAATAAGCTGTACATTCTTATAATACAGGATATGTGGTAGTGTATACAGTTGGATTGCTCAATTTGGTGTAGGGTATTTTATTTTGGGAAAGCGATATTCAAAGTGTTCTCTGGCTTCAAAGATCGCTGATGATAATTTTTAAAGGCGTGTTTTTTGGTACGAATGAAATGCTGCTACATTAAAGGCATAAACTATATAATTTATAATGATAATCGTGATAGATCTTAGAGGGCAAGCAGCGGCTAGGCAACTCAGAAGATAATCAACTAAAATTACACATACAACGAATTTTTTTTTTTTTTGATTCAGAGAGAACTTTACGAACGATTTTCGCTTAGAGAGCACTACTTACAAATCATAAATTTGATAATTTTATAATTTCAGAACTAGAACTTCAAATAGTTTTTTATTTGTTGTAAAAGTAGAGTTTTTTTTGTTATAGAGCATTTGCAGCAATGAGAGAAACTGTTTATATTTAACTTTTGGAATCGATTTGTTTTGGTTTTGCTTTGCTGAATGAGGCGCGATTTTGATGTAAAAACTAACTATAAGTCGACTTGTACGAGTACTGGGTAAATATTATTATCATATAAAGATATATGTCATATATATATATATATATATAGAGAGAGAGAGAGAGAGAGAGAGCGAGAGAGTTATATGCGAGTGAGCTGGTGGCGGCGAGTTATTGAAGAGAACTTAAAAGCAAAATTGAGAGATTGCTATTGTAGTTTTGTTTGTTGTTATTGTTATTGTTATTGTTGTTATAGTTGTTGTTAGCCAACTGGTATGAGCATTGCCTTTACCTAAATAATTTAAGCCATTCGGCTGGGAGCCACTTCTTAAAACGGCTGTGACCATATCGGCGAGCAAGGACTCATAGTTTAGGGAGATACAAGAGGATATGCTAAAAATAGGGCTCAAGTTCATATATATTGTGGAACACAGAGTACGTTAGAATTTCATTTTTTTGATCAATGTTGCTGTTTGCTGTTCATGATTGTGAAAGCCTTTCGTCTAAAAATTGCATTTCGAAACACGCATATGAATATTTATGCGTGTGTGTGTGTGTTTTTGTGTGTGTGTGTGTGTATGGATGAGTTTAAATACCGTTTGCCCAGCTCATCGCTCTGCTGTTTAATATCCTTGACCACATCATCGGCGCCCGAGACGAGCATAAGCGGCAGATTAAGCCAGGGTCCGGCCAGCTCGCTGAGATCGGAGCCATCCGAGGCGCGCGAAGATTTACGCGAGGAGGCGCGACTGGAGCAGGCTGTGCCGCGACGGCTCACCTGAGAAAAAAGGAGGGGAATGAGTAAAGAGAATATTTTAGATGCCCAAGCACATTACTCACCTGCAGATGGAAGAAATTGAGCGCGGAGAGCTTTGATTGCCAGCCGCCAGGGCTGGACGTTTGCGTTGCGCTGTCGCCAGAATTGGAGCGTTCCTTTTCCAGCTTGCGGCTGTGAAAGAACAGTGAGATTATGAATTATATATATATAATATATATATATAGGTTAACTAGCTGCTGCTATTGTTAGTACCGCAAATAGTCCTTCCAGCCGGTCTGTATGGTCTTGGCTGCCTTTTCCTGGCGCTTCCAGATCCGCGTCGACGAAACAATTTCCAATTCTTTGCGTGTTGGAAACTGTTTCTTGAACTTGACATCCATTTGTTCCTGCAACTGTTTGAAGTTATCGGTCTCCTCGACATGACCTAGCACGTGCTTAACTAGCGCGTGCAAAATGTCGAGACAGTGTATTTTATTGCCCTTAGAGATGGGCAGATTAAATGACACTAAAGCGACATTATTGGGCTTCGAGATGCCCAATGGTGGATCGAGTGAGGCAATAAAATCGGACAGTTGCGAGAAGTGTATAAATTGGGTGGCATGTGGATCATATCTGAAACGAAATCAATTGAAAATCAGGTCAATGATTCACACCGTCTAAATGGTTAAAGCCGGCTCGCGAACATTTGGCAAGTAGCTTACTTGGACCAACGTATGTAAAACATTTCCAAGTCATCTTCAACAATGCCAATCTCCTCCTCCTGATGCGCCTGATTGAAATTCTCCAGAATGATGGCAATGTACATGTTAATCACAATCATATAACTGATTATAATGAAGCTCGTGAAGTAGGTGATCGCCAGCAGCGGATGGCCGCAATCGCCGTTCGTCTGCCTATTGAAGAACGGATCACAGACCGGCGGCTGTATCATCAGGGACTCCAGTACATCGTTCCAGCCCGCCGAGGTCATCAGGCGAAACAACAGCTGCATGCTGCGCCCAAATGTCTGAAAGTTTACCATATCATCCAAGGCGCCCTGCAGCTTCACATGGCCGAATAGCGACATGCCCAGTATGGCATAGATAAACGTTATCAGCCCAAGCAGGGCGCCAATATTGAAGAGCGCCGGCAGCGAAACGACCAAAGCGAACAGCAGCTTGCGTATGCCCTTGGCAGCCTTGATCAGGCGCAGGATGCGTCCAATGCGAAAGACGCGCACCACACGCAACAGCGTCGGGCTGATGGGCAAATCGATCATAATGTCCTCCATAAGTATGCCGAAGATGGAGGCCAGCACCAGCAGGAAGTCAAACACATTCCAAGGCACCGTGAAGTAATGATAACGCAGCCCCACAATCTTAACGATGGCCTCTGTGAAAACATGTACATTGTAGCATATAAAAGTATGACAAATGGATGGATTAAGGGTATTCCCACTTACCGAGCCCAAAGACAGTGGTGAAAAATGCATTGCTCACTTCCAATATAAAGAATACGGCATGGGGCTGATCGTAGTGCTCAATGCCCATGGTAAGCATATTTAGAAAAATCAGTACAAAGATCGCTATTTCGAATCTGCATAAATTGATCGATGACGATTCGTATACATGGTGGATATAATGGCGGACACAAACACCAAAGTATATGAAATTATAAACAGATATTTGTTAAGTAAATGAGTTTGATCAAAAATAATCTACAGACACAAACTTCGTGCGTGCCGAAGTGCAGATGCTGCTCAAAATCGAAGCTACAAATATTTTTATATATACAAATTCATTTGAGTAGCATACGCTAAGACTAGAGCTAGTTAAATATATACATGCTTAACAGATATCAGAGCTGCAAGCCGAATTTTAATTAATATTTCATTTTAACTACGAGTAGCCAAATCGTATCACGAATCAAACGCTTTTACTTGGATTTGTCTAAAACGAGTGAAACCGGCTTCACGAACCGTTCCCAAAGTCAAGGTGTTTGCTTGAACCGTAAACCGAACCAGCGACCTTTCCTTTTGGCTTCGCCCTATCTCTAACCTACTTTTCATCAGCTTGCAGCCTTGATATAGATATATATTTATAATATAACATAATATAGTATAAAATAGTAACATAGATTAAAAGGAACCCCCACTAAATATGCCAGATCTGTAACTAGTTACTTTATAGAGCATGCCCACACTTCACAAAGTGCGTTAGTTTACAAATATTGTAATGCATTAGGAAACATTTATATATATACGGATATTCATAAGATTAGTGCTCTAAAACATCTATATAAACATCGGATTGGAAAAGTTGTAGTTGCATTGCGACTTTTGGCGACTTTGGGCGACTTCTTTGGCAAGTTTAAAGAAGCAGCCAACAAACCAGCCTTTGAAACATCATCAAATGCGGAGAATGTGAAGTGTTCAAATGGATTTTATCACCAAATCAAAAAGTATTTAAATTTTATATATATAGACAGAGAGAGAGAGAGAGAGTGTGTGTGCCTAACCAGAGTATTATAAGACTAACAGTAAGTATATAATTAAAACTATAGTTAAATTTATATAGAAGTAAGCAATTTGTTTGGGTTTTGCAGAAAACCGCTTTTGTTGGTTATTTTGTTTACCTTCTCGAATTGGATAAATCATAAAACATAGCTAAAAAATGATTTATAGGTCGCTTAATAACTTTCTGTGGTTTCTTTCGTCCCAATTTTTTCATAGCGGTGTAATAATGTTTTTGAGATTCGGTGAGAAACATTTCCAACACTCCTCCTTCATACTATAAAAGTGATGAGAATAGAATGAACATTTATTTATATATACAAATACATACAATACACAATTAATAAATAAATCAAATGATAGACACACACACACACGCACACGCTAGTTATAAAACATCGATAACTGAAAGAACAGCAACAATTGGGGAGAGGGTATATAGATTATGTATTGTACAGTTCGTTTCAGTTCAGGTGAGGTGAGGTATAAAGGTATAGAGGTAGTTGGAGAGGTAGTTGCTTTATGTACAGATAAACAAATGCATAGCTTGATTGTGGCTGGAGCAGGAGCTTAGGCCACATGGCTTACCTTCTTCTTGAGCATATTGAAGTTATCAATGATAACTCCAATGAACAGATTGAGCGTAAAGAACGATCCGCACACAATAAATATAACAAAATAAATATACGCATATAAATTGGCCTCGCGCTGCGGCTGCAGATCAACGCCACGCGCATCCACAGCATCCGCCATCACCTCCATCCAGCCCTCAAAGGTGGCCACCTGCAGCAGCGCCAGGTAGCCCATGCCCACATGATCGAAGGTGATTTTTGAATTGATCCACGTGTAGTTCTGCTCGATGCAGTCCCACTTATCGTTGACCTCCTGTAAGTTGCAAATGGAAAACATATTAATTGGTGCTTGGGCAATGTGGTTGGGTAATTGGGATTCGCCTGCTTGGGGCGGTGTCTGTTCGGCATACTTACAGTAATTGGCAGCAATTCGCCCAATTCATTGACGCATTTGAAAAATTTACCACCAAAGAATTGTACACCCATTATTGAGAAAATTAACCAAAAAACTAAACAAACCAAAAGTACATTGAAAATTGATGGTATTGCATACATGAGAGCATTTACTACAATCCGCATTCCTTGCCACCTGGAATAGAAATGTTTTATGAAATGCTAAATTGTTACGGGATTGGGATCGGACTACAATACATAAAGGCCGATTATAAATATATATAGAGGAATGTGCTTTCGTTTCTCATCTGTTCAAAAAATCTACACATAATATTTATATATATATATCAACTATATACAATAGTGTTAACTGCTTATTTACAATGTTTACAAGGTTGTTATAAACTATATTCGTTAGCTATGTACATAAGTTGGTGGACATGACAGTGTGAACTACAAATAGATTTCTATTCGAAATTCATAAAGAAGACGAGATTGTATTAAAGCTCGGGCAACGCTTATGCCGAATCGTTTAAAGAAATAAGATACATACAAGAAAATGGAAACCTACGTGGACAGAGAGCTTACTTCATTAGTTTAGCATTAAGAGAAATCTCGCTTATCAGCAGTTGGTGCAATCTAAACCTAGACGATCCGGCCGGCTACTTACCTAGAGATTGCTCTCAGTGGACGCAGGGCGCGCAGGGTGCGCAGCGAGCGCAGGACCTTAAGGTTCTCATTCTCTTCAATGAGAAGCGAGAAAACGGAGACCTGGCCAAAAGATAAATACACACAAATGTATATAAGTATAAGAGGCATATATATTTATTACTTACAAACACTATGATAAAATCGAGTATGGTCCAAAAGCTGGTAAAATATTTGGAGAAGCCCAGCGCCAGCCACTTGAGCACCATTTCCAGTACAAAGATCAGGCTAAAGGAGAAATTCGTCCAGTAGAGCACACGCTTTAGCGTCTTATTGCTATCCAAATAGATGTCCTCGAAGCAGAGCGTAATACTCGACGCAAAGATCAACACTAGCACAAACCACTCAAAGGCTGGAGTATCGACAACCGTCAAGACAGCCGTTCGCACGCGTGTCCAATGCTTGGCGCTCGGTGTGTCCATGCACGACATGAACCAGGGACAGCGGAAGTAAAAGCTGCATTAAAACATTTCAAATTATTAATTGATATTATTAAATGCCATCCAAACAAAATTGTAACATATGTAAACATATTCAATCTAACCAAATTAAATCTAAAAATTTCGATATAGACATGGATCAAAACTTCCCAATCCCATAACTCGGTCAAAACTCAACCGATTTTCACGAAGTTGGACTTTTTATTCATGGTTTTGCCCCCACCTTAAAATGGCATTCAAATCTGACAACCCAATTTTGGGTCCAAATTCATGTAAATATTGTACCCTCAAAATTTCGATATAGACATGGATCAAAACTTCCCAATCCCATAACTCGGTCAAAACTCAACCGATTTTCACGAAGTTGGACTCTTTATTCATGGTTTTGCTCCCACTTTAAAATGGCATTCAAATCTGACAACCCAATCCAAATTCAAGTAAATATTGTACCCTCAAAATTTCGATATAGACATGGATCAAAACTTCCCAACCCCATAACTCGGTCAAAACTCAACCGATTTTTACGAAGTTGGACTTTTTATTCATGGTTTTGCCCTCACTTTAAAATGGCATTCAAATCTGACAACCCAATTTTGGGTCCAAATTCATGTAAATATTGTACCCTCAAAATTTCGATATAGACATGGATCAAAACTTCCCAACCCCATAACTCGGTCAAAACTCAACCGATTTTCACGAAGTTGGGCTTTTTATTTATGGTTTTGCCCCCACTTTAAAATGGCATTCAAATCTGACAACCCAATTTTGGGTCCAAATTCATGTAAATATTGTACCCTCAAAATTTCGATATAGACATGGATCAAAACTTCCCAATCCCATAACTCGGTCAAAACTCAACCGATTTTCACGAAGTTGGACTTTTTATTCATGGTTTTGCTCCCTCTTTAAAATGGCATTCAAATCTGACAACCCAATTTTGGGTCCAAATTCAAGTAAATATTGTACCCTCAAAATTTCGATATAGACATGGATCAAAACTTCCCAACCCCATAACTCGGTCAAATCTCAACCGATATTCACGAAGTTGGGCCTTTTATTCATGGTTTTGCCCTCACTTTAAAATGGCATTCAAATCTGACAACCCAATTTTGGGTCCAAATTCATGTAAATATTGTACCCTCAAAATTTCGATATAGACATGGATCAAAACTTCCCAATCCCATAACTCGGTCAAAACTCAACCGATTTTCACGAAGTTGCACTTTTTATTCATGGTTTTGCTCCCACTTTAAAATGGCATTCAAATCTGACAACTCAATTTTGGGTCCAAATTCAAGTAAATATTGTACCCTCAAAATTTCGATATAGACATGGATCAAAACTTCCCAACCCCATAACTCGGTCAAAACTCAACCGATTTTCACGAAGCTGGACTCTTTATTCATGGTTTTGCCCCCACTTTAAAATGGCATTCAAATCTGACAACGCAATTTTGGGTCCAAATTCAAGTAAATATTGTACCCTCAAAATTTCGACGTAGACATGGATCAAAACTTCCCAATCCCATAACTCGGTCAAAACTCAACCGATTTTCACGAAGTTGGACTTTTTATTCATGGTTTTGCTCCCACTTTAAAATGGCATTCAAATCTGACAACTCAATTTTGGGTCCAAATTCAAGTAAATATTGTACCCTCAAAGTTTCGATATAGACATGGATCAAAACTTCCCAACCCCATAACTCGGTCAAAACTCAACCGATATTCGCGAAGTTGGGCTTTTTATTCATGGTTTTGCCCTCACTTTAAAATGGCATTCAAATCTGACAACCCAATTTTGGGTCCAAATTCAAGTAAATATTGTACCCTCAAAATTTCGATATAGACATGGATCAAAACTTCCCAACCCCATAACTCGGTCAAAACTCAACCGATATTCGCGAAGTTGGGCTTTTTATTCATGGTTTTGCCCTCACTTTAAAATGGCATTCAAATCTGACAACCCAATTTTGGGTCCAAATTCAAGTAAATATTGTACCCTCAAAATTTCGATATAGACATGGATCAAAACTTCCCAACCCCATAACTCGGTCAAAACTCAACCGATATTCGCGAAGTTGGGCTTTTTATTCATGGTTTTGCCCTCACTTTAAAATGGCATTCAAATCTGACAACCCAATTTTGGGTCCAAATTCAAGTAAATATTGTACCCTCAAAATTTCGATATAGACATGGATCAAAACTTCCCAACCCCATAACTCGGTCAAAACTCAACCGATTTTCACGAAGTTGGACTTTTTTTTCATGGTTTTGCTCCCACTTTAAAATGGCATTCAAATCTGACAACTCAATTTTGGGTCCAAATTCAAGTAAATATTGTACCCTCAAAATTTCGATATAGACATGGATCAAAACTTCCCAACCCCATAACTCGGTCAAAACTCAACCGATTTTCACGAAGCTGGACTCTTTATTCATGGTTTTGCCCCCACTTTAAAATGGCATTCAAATCTGACAACGCAATTTTGGGTCCAAATTCAAGTAAATATTGTACCCTCAAAATTTCGACGTAGACATGGATCAAAACTTCCCAATCCCATAACTCGGTCAAAACTCAACCGATTTTCACGAAGTTGGACTTTTTATTCATGGTTTTGCTCCCACTTTAAAATGGCATTCAAATCTGACAACTCAATTTTGGGTCCAAATTCAAGTAAATATTGTACCCTCAAAGTTTCGATATAGACATGGATCAAAACTTCCCAACCCCATAACTCGGTCAAAACTCAACCGATATTCGCGAAGTTGGGCTTTTTATTCATGGTTTTGCCCTCACTTTAAAATGGCATTCAAATCTGACAACCCAATTTTGGGTCCAAATTCATGTAAATATTGTACCCTCAAAATTTCGATATAGACATGGATCAAAACTTCCCAATCCCATAACTCGGTCAAAACTCAACCGATTTTCACGAAGTTGGACTTTTTATTCATGGTTTTGCCCCCACCTTAAAATGGCATTCAAATCTGACAACCCAATTTTGGGTCCAAATTCAAGTAAATATTGTACCCTCAAAATTTCGTCATAGACATGGATCAAAACTTCCCAACCCCATAACTCGGCCAAAACTCAACCGATTTTCACGAAGTTGGACTTTTTATTCATGGTTTTGCTCCCACTTTAAAATGGCATTCAAATCTGACAACCCAATTTTGGGTCCAAATTCAAGTAAATATTGTACCCTCAAAATTTCGATATAGACATGGATCAAAACTTCCCAACCCCATAACTCGGCCAAAACTCAACCGATTTTCACGAAGTTGGACTTTTTATTCATGGTTTTGCTCCCACTTTAAAATGGCATTCAAATCTGACAACCCAATTTTGGGTCCAAATTCAAGTAAATATTGTACCCTCAAAATTTCGACGTAGACATGGATCAAAATTTCCCAACCCCATAACTCGGTCAAAACTCAACCGATATTCACGAATTTGGACTTTTTATTCATGGTTTTGCCCTCACTTTAAAATGGCATTCAAATCTGACAACTCAATTTTGGGTCCAAATTCAAGTAAATATTGTACCCTCAAAATTTCGATATAGACATGGATCAAAACTTCCCAATCCCATAACTCGGTCAAAACTCAACCGATTTTCACGAGGTTGGACTTTTTATTCATGGTTTTGCCCCCACCTTAAAATGGCATTCAAATCTGACAACCCAATTTTGGGTCCAAATTCAAGTAAATATTGTACCCTCAAAATTTCGTCATAGACATGGATCAAAACTTCCCAACCCCATAACTCGGCCAAAACTCAACCGATTTTCACGAAGTTGGACTTTTTATTCATGGTTTTGCTCCCACTTTAAAATGGCATTCAAATCTGACAACCCAATTTTGGGTCCAAATTCAAGTAAATATTGTACCCTCAAAATTTCGACGTAGACATGGATCAAAACTTCCCAATCCCATAACTCGGTCAAAACTCAACCGATATTCACGAAGTTGGGCTTTTTATTCATGGTTTTGCCCCCACTTTAAAATGGCATTCAAATCTGACAACCCAATTTTGGGTCCAAATTCAAGTAAATATTGTACCCTCAAAATTTCGTCATAGACATGGATCAAATCTTCCCAATCCCATAACTCGGTCAAAACTCAACCGATATTCACGAAGTTGGGCTTTTTATTCATGGTTTTGCCCCCACTCTAAAATGGCATTCAAATCTGACAACCCAATTTTGGGTCCAAATTCATGTAAATATTGTACCCTCAAAATTTCGATATAGACATGGATCAAAACTTCCCAATCCCATAACTCGGTCAAAACTCAACCGATTTTCACGAAGTTGGACTTTTTATTCATGGTTTTGCCCCCACCTTAAAATGGCATTCAAATCTGACAACCCAATTTTGGGTCCAAATTCATGTAAATATTGTACCCTCAAAATTTCGATATAGACATGGATCAAAACTTCCCAACCCCATAACTCGGTCAAAACTCAACCGATTTTCACGAAGTTGGGCTTTTTATTCATGGTTTTGCCCCCACTTTAAAATGGCATTCAAATCTGACAACCCAATTTTGGGTCCAAATTCATGTAAATATTGTACCCTCAAAATTTCGATATAGACATGGATCAAAACTTCCCAATCCCATAACTCGGTCAAAACTCAACCGATTTTCACGAAGTTGGACTTTTTATTCATGGTTTTGCCCCCACTTTAAAATGGCATTCAAATCTGACAACTCAATTTTGGGTCCAAATTCAAGTAAATATTGTACCCTCAAAATTTCGATATAGACATGGATCAAAACTTCCCAATCCCATAACTCGGTCAAAACTCAACCGATTTTCACGAAGTTGGACTTTTTATTCATGGTTTTGCCCCCACCTTAAAATGGCATTCAAATCTGACAACCCAATTTTGGGTCCAAATTCATGTAAATATTGTACCCTCAAAATTTCGATATAGACATGGATCAAAACTTCCCAACCCCATAACTCGGTCAAAACTCAACCGATTTTCACGAAGTTGGGCTTTTTATTCGTGGTTTTGCCCTCACTTTAAAATGGCATTCAAATCTGACAACCCAATTTTGGGTCCAAATTCATGTAAATATTGTACCCTCAAAATTTCGATATAGACATGGATCAAAACTTCCCAACCCCATAACTCGGTCAAAACTCAACCGATTTTCACGAAGTTGGGCTTTTTATTCATGGTTTTGCCCCTACTTTAAAATGGCATTCAAATCTGACAACTCAATTTTGGGTCCAAATTCAAGTAAATATTGTACCCTCAAAATTTCGATATAGACATGGATCAAAACTTCCCAATCCCATAACTCGGTCAAAACTCAACCGATTTTCACGAAGTTGGACTTTTTATTCATGGTTTTGCCCTCACTTTAAAATGGCATTCAAATCTGACAACCCAATTTTGGGTCCAAATTCATGTAAATATTTTACCCTCAAAATTTCGATATAGACATGGATCAAAACTTCCCAACCCCATAACTCGGTCAAAACTCAACCGATTTTCACGAAGTTGGACTTTTTATTCATGGTTTTGTCCCCACTTTAAAATGGCATTCAAATCTGACAACCCAATTTTGGGTCCAAATTCATGTAAATATTGTACCCTCAAAATTTCGACATAGACATGGATCGAAACTTCCCAACCCCATAACTCGGTCAAAACTCAACCGATATTCACGAAGTTGGGCTTTTTATTCATGGTTTTGCCCTCACTTTAAAATGGCATTCAAATCTGACAACCCAATTTTGGGTCCAAATTCATGTAAATATTGTACCCTCAAAATTTCGATATAGACATGGATCAAAACTTCCCAACCCCATAACTCGGTCAAAACTCAACCGATTTTCACGAAGTTGGGCTTTTTATTCATGGTTTTGCCCCACTTTAAAATAGCATTCAAATCTGACAACCCAATTTTGGGTCCAAATTCAAGTAAATATTGTACCCTCAAAATTTCGACATAGACATGGATCAAAACTTTCCAATCCCATAGCTCGGTCAAAACTCAACCGATATTCACGAAGTTGGGCTTTTTATTCATGGTTTTGCCCTCACTTTAAAATGGCATTCAAATCTGACAACCCAATTTTGGGTCCAAATTCATGTAAATATTGTAGCCTATAAATTTCTATATAGACATGGGTCAAAACTTCCCAATCCCATAACTCGGTAAAAACTCAACCGATTTTCAAGAAGTTTCGCTTTTTGTTAATGGTTCGAGCTGCTTTTATATATAGTTTATATAGTGGATACTCACTGATCGTAGCACTTTTGTGGGAAGCAATCGTCTGGCACTTTTGGCGGCTTTGTCTGGCCATAGCTCGGAAAAGTCATGGGGTCATTGTAGGCGCCCTGCGAGTTACGTCTCCCACCGACAGTGAGATCGTCTACGTAGGAAACCAGACAATGCCATGGTTTTTCGGTCAGTCGTGAAAACGCCGACGGCTTTGTTGTCGCCGCCATCGGCTCAGTCTTCTCGCTAGCCCGCTCTGGTTGCTGGCCATTGGACATGGAGCGTGGACCGGCGTGTGCCGAGCTACTGTTATCGGCGGCGCCCGAGCTGTGCGATTCGGTGCGGCCCGATTGAAAGGAAGCGGCTTTGTCTAGTCTCGATTGTGGATGCTCGGCGCGGCGCTTGGAAGCGCCCGCGCCCACAGCCGTTGGGTGCATTGTTTTTGTTGCGGCTGCTGTTGTTGTTGTTATTGTGGTTTGTATGCTTGTGGCATGATAATGCTGCTGGTGCTCCGTGAGGGCAGCCAGCGGCGGTGTTGCCTTTAGCGATGAAATTTGCGCCAGTGTCGGTGGCTCAATGCTCGATTTCAGGGATGTGGGCGGCGTTGCCGGCACACCCCCAATTGCCGAATTGTTTGCCTCGCGGCACATTTGCTGCTTCTGTATGAGCAGATTCTCATACGAATTGGTGCTCTTCAGCGAGAGGCTGTCAAGGCGCAGCTGTTCGCTGTTGTGAAACTTGCGCGGCATCTTCTCCGACTCGATGCGCAGCGTCGATATGGGCTTATCCTCCTCGGGCAGCTCCTCGACGCGTTCGATCAGCGACAGACGCTTAAAGCGATCGAACTGCACGCTAAACGGATCATTCTTGCGGCGCATGAACGGCGACTGACCGCCGCCGCCGGTGCTGCTGCTGCCACTGGTGGCTGCGACGGCCAGCGCCTCCATGGCCGCGAAGGGTGCATGTATTTGATCACAGATTTTGCGTATTTCGTTCGATATGCTAAAGTCCTCGTCGATTTTGCGCTGCTTTTCCAGGCTGCGACGCTTCAGCTTGACGGACTGACGCTGGGCGGCGGCGCTGACGGACTGCGAGCGTCGCGGCACACTGGACAGATCGTAGCTATCGTAAGGATTCAGCGGATGCACCACCTCATCGGCAGCGGTGCGCTCCGAGGCGCCGGTTATCACAGCAATATGATCCATTATGGCCTTGGTCGCCTCATCGGCAGCTGGCGAGGGCTCAGCGAGCGTGGAGATTTTGCGCTCCAGCGAGCTGGTCGAGCGCTTGATCTCCTCCAGCTCCTTCTCAAAGCTCTGTATGATATTGTCGAATTCGGAATGCTCCATCAGCGGTTCGCTCTCCTGCTGCCCATTGCCAGTGCTGGAGTGCCTCGAGTCCAGCGTTTGCATTATGGAATTGGATATGTAGCTGAGATTCGACTTGATGCTGCTGGTGGTTGTCTTCTTTTTGGACAGCAGCTCGTCGTCGTCCTGCAGAAACTGAAACAGCTCCTTCTGATCGCAATTGAGCAGCTCCTCGCGCAGATTCGCCTGCTGCGACAGCAGCTCATCCTGCTCCAGGGATATGGAGTTCAGCGAGTGCCCGCTCGAGTGCCGCCGCATGGCGCTCTCCTCCGACTTGAGGCTGCGCGAGGGCAGCAGCGAACGCTGCGATTGCCCGCTGGACTGCGACAGGCGATCCAGCGACTTGCGGTAGCTGGGCGAGCGCGTTAGCAGCGACTTTTGATACTTGAGATAGGCCTCGTCGGTGTCCTGCAGCGAATCGCCGCGCGCAAACGAGCCGCTGCGCTGATCCGCCGCATACGCATAGGGATCTGTGTCCGTTGAATTGTACTGGCCCAGCAGGCGCAGCTCTATGGACTCCGTGTAGGTGGCCTCGTCACGCGAATCGTTCTGCTGTGTGCCCACGCCCGAGGAGATCTGATGCTGCAATCTGCCCGCCACCGAAGTGAGATTGTTGTCGCCACCATTGCTGTTGCCATTGCTCGTGGCAGATAGCATGGCGCACTCGTAAGTCGGTGGCAGATAATCACCGGCCGGCTGCTGCAACTGTTGCTGCTGCTGCTGCTGTTGGTCTGCCGAGTCCGCTGTCTCATCGTACTCGAGGCCATCGACTATGGTGTGCAGGCCATCGCTGAGCGGAATTTGGAAGCCAAAATCCGAGCCAGAAACTGGTCGGTTCATAGATTCCTGTGAATGTTTAATTAATCTATAAGCTGTGACTTGCATTGAATATTTGTGGCCCACTCACCTGGTAGCTTAATCTATGAAACTTTGTTTCCGCCAGCAGGCCGGATTTGTCCATATCTCTGGCTGCGACATGCGCCTGCTGCGCCTCGAGCACAATCTGTTGAAACTTTTCCGCATACTTGCGCTCCTTGCGATCCTTGCGCTCCTGCCGCTTCTTGCGTATCAGATCGCGCACACGCTCAATGCTGCGTGCCAGCTTTGACTCCTCACCCACCTCCTACACGAAGAGAAAAGTCTAGATTAGCTGACGCGTTGCATTGTTAAGGGTATGCGAAAATAAAGGTTTCACTACAATATTGAAATTTTTTGAATGTTTACACACATTTATATATATATATATATATAGTCAATCATTTATCCAATGCAATATACAATCTAACGGCAAAAAGCTAAACATCGAGAAACACAAAAGTTGCAAATTTTACAAATAACAATAACAATCAATATGCAGCCTGGGGGTTATTATATACACGCGGTTTTTAAATTTTTCTTGGTTAAGGAATTTTTTTTTGGTTTTTTTTTTTGTAAATTAACAAAAAACAGCAAACAATTTGTTTAAGTAGTTTTTAAGTTTGAGTTTGAAAAAATTACCTTTTTCTTGAAAATCTGTTTAACGGTTTTTGTGTATTTAAATATTGGTAATTGTTGGGGTATTATTTTTTTTGTTGGTATTTTTTTAGTATATTATGGTGTGTATGTTTAGTATTTAAAAGTTAAAACGCATTGTGCAAAGTTGACAAACAAAGTTTTAGTTTTTGTTTTTTGTTTTAGTAAATTCAAGTAGATTTAGTGCAAATAGAAATATTATCAGATAAGTATTAAAGACTTAGACACTGAGACTTAGACAGGATTACATGAAAGAAATGCATAAGACATACGTTAAGTAAATACAACAACAAAAATACGTAATTTCGAGCAGCGCCGAAATTAAGCACAACATATTATTTTTTTTTTTTATCAAATTAATTCGAATAGTTTTGGTGAATGAAAATGAGAATTTGGGCGGTTAATTTAAGGATTTGTGTGTATGTAAAAAGTGCGTTTCCATTTTTTTTCAGTGTATAATTCAATTGGCATCAAATTTTGTTTAATGCATTTGTTTTAAATGTGAGTATTTTTTTGTTTAAATTACTTGGCTAAGTTATAGACACACACATATTCACGCCGAACAAACAATGCAATGCAAATTCGTATAAACACCATATAGAGTATAAAAGTTAATAAATTACTTTGTTTTTTTTCTTTTAGCATTTTGGTTTTTATGACAAGCATGGCTTGTGCTCAAGACTTGGGTTTTTGTTTAAGGAATTTCCTTTGTTTAAATGGTTTAACATTGTTTTGCACGCACATAGACACACATTGAACGTTTAGACATAAACATTTACATAACAATCGATAAGAGTTTTGCAAAAGGGATTATACATTGGACTTGCCTCTTTCTTGGATTTAAGCTCCTCGGAATTGAAGCTGTTGAGCAACAAAGCCAAGAACAAGTTTAAGACCATGAAGTTTCCCATTACCAGAGTGGGCAAAAATATGGCGAAGCATGTCGAGGCGCCTTGCTGTGAATTGACAAGTATTATAAAGTATAATTAAATATTATTGCTGGTATAACTTGCCTCCTCTTCGGCGCGCATGCAATCCCAGAGCGGTTCAATCCATTCGCCACACAATATGCGAAAAATCATCATGAACGAGTGAAAGAAATCATTGAAATTCCATCTGTATAAAAGAATATTATAAATATGTGCAAAAGCAATCATGTCTAGCTTTTGTCTTGCCTGGGCACGGGATCTGGCGCAAACTTTTCGGCCGTGTAGTCTTTGGAAAACAATTGCATGCCGATCACGGCAAAGATATAGATGACTATAACAAGGATCAACGTGAGGTTGCCGAGCGCACCAATCGTTGATATAATGATGCTCAACAGCACCTTCATCGTTGTCCAAGACTGTGCCAGCTTCAGAACGCGCAACTGCAACGGGCGAAGGATCAAAATTAAAATCTGTCAAAATTATAGCTCAAACAGGTGTAGACTAACCAAGCGCAGGCCGCGCAAAACGCTGAGGCCATCGACCAGCTCGAAGATGATATCCAGCAGGCTGGCCGTGACAATGATCAGATCGAATATGTTCCAGCCGCACAGGAAGAACTCCTTGGAGAGGGCCAACAGCTTGACAATGCACTCAAATGTGAAAATGGACGTAAAGACCTGCGCGAAAATAGTTGTTAATATTGTGTTTACAGCTCAGCTAAGCTGTCAATCAATGCCACCTTGTTGCCCACATCCAGGGCATTGCGAAAGCTCTCGCTCATGCCATGATGCTCCATGGCCAGAAAGGCGGTGTTCAAGACAATGCACAGCGTAATGGCCAGCTCGAAGAGCGGATCACGCACCACCTTGTAGAGACAGTTCTGAAACTGCAGCCAGCTCTCGTAATCCGCGCAGCAGTGCACGCAACGATCGCAATTCCGATCGGGCAGGTCATCTGTAAGGTGCAGAAACTTGAGTATATATTGGAACTATAATGATTCGACTCTTGCTATGCTAACCAATCACGACCACCTCTGAGGAGTACTCCTGATGCAGGGCATAGACATTGTGATTCTTGATGCGCGCAATGTTGCCGTTGCATTTGATTAAGCGCACCTCGCGCGGCGACAGCGCCAGCTCAACGGTGGAGACATGTCCCATTTCGTTGGCCGTGTCCTGCTCTTCGTGATCATCGACAACGCCGGAATCATCCTGAGAGGATTCGCGATTGACGCCGCCACTCGAATTCGAGCTGGTCTGGCGACTGCTCGTCATCAGCTGACCCTTGTAGTCCGAGGGGTACAGCATGTTGGGATTCTTTACGCTGCCCTCCCTAAAGCTGATGCGTGTCTTCTGCTGCGAGGTGGCCGCCGCTTCCGTTTGGACAAGCTGTTGCTGCTGCTGTTGTTGTTGTTGTTGCTGCTCCATTTGCTGCTGCGCCTGCAGGGCCAGCGCCGAGGGACGATCTGTGGTGCTGTTGCGCGGACTGGGTCCAGGGCTGGGCGTTGCCGAGAGAGATTTAATGTGTTCCTGCTCGACGCCATTGCTGCCATTGTTGCTGGTATTATCTTTGCCGCCTTTGGTCTTTTTTCGGCGCGTCTTTTTCTTGCTGTATGAGGCCAGGAGCACGCCTTTGCGTGAGTCGATCTTCTTTTTGTTGTTCTTGCTGAGCTTCTTTACGTTCAGCACAGATGGATCAAAGCTAAACGTGGAATCGTCACGATGATCCAACAGATCCTTTTTGCGCTCCTAAAAAAAAAACAAAAACAGGCATGAGCTAAAATTGAATTCCAGAGGAGTTTATTGCTTGCCTCATTTGTTATTTCCGCCTCCTCCTCGTAGCTCAATGCGACGACAGCCAACATCAGATTAATTAAGTAGAATGAGCCGAAAAACACAACCACAGTAAAAAATATGACGCTCATTGGACCACAAGCCGCCAGCACCTGCAAATGGGGTAAAGGGATTAGTGCGTGAGCACGCGTGACGCCAGCAACTGCCCTACCATATTGTACACGTTCTCCCAGTAGTCCAGTGTGATCAATTGGAACGTTGTCAGCATGGACCACATAAAGTTGTCGAAGTTCGTGTAGCCGTGATTGGGATTGTCGCCGACGCAGATGCACATGAAGCCGAGCGGGCAGTGGCGGGCGCCTGTCAGATTGCCGCAGATTGTGGGCAGCTCCTCGTCATCGTACAGCCAGTTGTCCGTATCGTTGACCCAACTGCAACAGTAGCAAAGATCATACAGTAAATGCATTCATATAAATCTAATCTAGTTGCTTGTTTACATTTTCCAATCCAGATGCGATATGTTGGTCCAATCGGTGGGCACATTGCGTACGCATTTGTTGCGCAATTCCCCCATGTAGACCTGCAGCGCGAAGAGGGCAAACACCATCAGGCAGAAGATGGTCAATGTCATGACCTCCGCCAATTGGCGAAACGAATGCAAGAGTGCGTTAATAATTGTCTTCAGGCCGGGCATGATGGACACCGTCTTTAGGGCACGCAGCACACGAAATGTCCGCAAGCCAGCCAGATTGCCCACCTCCATGCCAATGGTTGCATATCCACTGGTGATGACCACAAAGTCCAGCCAATTCCATGGATTACGCAAATACGTGTACTTGTTGAGCAAAAAGCCTTTGGCAATGATTTTGATTACCATTTCAATTGAGTAAATGGCTAGGAAGATATATCTGTATGCACATACAATAGAATATTATTCATGGATTTATGTCGTATTGGGGACACGAACTTACTCAGCTTCCTCCACGGTCTCCGTCATGGCTAGGAAAATGCAGTTGAAGAGAATGGTTGCCATCACGCAGTAGTCGAAAAATTGATTTGTGGCAATGTAGACACATACGCGTCGCCATTGACTCCATGGATGGAAGAGAAATAGGCTTTTGGTGCCCGTAAACCGGTGTATGTAATTCTTTCGGAATCGCTTTGATACCACGCAAAATGTCTGAAAAAGAAATTTACTGTAGTTTTGGCGCCAGTTTAGAGTTGATTTTTTTATTATTATCGATGCCACTATTGAGTCGCAACTTAACAGAGCTAGTCGATACTTAACATGACTGGCCCCCACTTAACAGTAACAGAGCTGCTCCCCACCTAACAGACCTACTCGATGCTAAAACATCTGTCATATGACTTATCGATACTTGACAGCTGTCAAACCCGGCCACGCGAGGCTGCCAGCTAAACTTCCGCTGGGCCATCGTTCTTTCGTTCTCAGATCGTCTTCGTGACCAGAAGGAAAATGAGAGCTAAGGTAAAATATTATTTTCGCAATTGAAAAGTGCAAAATTAAGAGAAAAAAATCAAAGTGTATTAAATATGTAAAGAGCAATTGTTACAACTATGCGTGTTTCTTGTATATTTATAGTGGCGTAAGAAGCGTATGCGTAGGTTGAAGCGTAAGCGCAGGAAGATGCGTGCAAGGTCTAAGTAAACGCACCACGCCATCGACCATTTTCGTGGTGAGTACCGAGTGCAGGCCATCGGAGCGCTAGCGCTCCAAATGCCGCTTATCTTGTTTGGCCAACAATTGGATGCTTATTTGTTGCAATTTCTGTTTCTTTCAGGAACTTCTGACGTACAAAAATGAACATGCCGACTGGGCAACTTGAGGCCCGAAGTAATTGCAAAATTAGTTTTCAAACCAGAAAATAAATGTGCTTTAAAAAAGATTCACTTTGAAATTTCCCTTTGAGAAAACTTAAATAAATTACTGGTTTACAAAAGTTCCACAAAACAAAAAAAAAAAAAAAAAAAAAAAAAACATTTGTGTTGAATTGCCGAGACGGAGGGAAAATAAAAAAAACGTAATTCCGAGCGTGCTTTTTCAACATAACCAAATTTCCATGTATTCACATGTGTAAGTGTGCCGCTTGCATGTGTGCCTGTGTGTGAATTGAATTAAACTACGCGTCTTATCGCATCTGCCAAGAAGTCGTAGAGCCAGCCCACAATGCGCATTTTTTGTATTTAAAAACAGTACAAAAATACCACCGGAAAATTTATTCTACCAGGTGGACATTTACAGGACTCTCTTGGACCTTTAAAACCCTAGCGGATGGGACAACGGTCTATACCAGATATGAGAGACAAACCACCCGTGAGTAGCAGCCAAACCGGCGTACGTACACTGCACAACCGTTCAACCGTGTAGGGGCCTCCAATTAGGCAAAGTGCGGCCAGACCAAGCGGCGTCTCGGAGTTGGCCGCACTTCTATCGATTTCTTAGCATAGACTCAATCTGGCATTGACTAAGCCTAACCCAGCCCTGCCCCGTGGTCGAAGGGGTTCATTAGCGCTGTGATTTCTGCAATTAAGTATGCCCGATGCGCCAGCCTTGTTAAGGTTGACAAAGGATAATCAAGCGAGTGACCGCCTGTCACGCCCCCAAGGTCGTTTGTCATACATAAATGTCGTTCAGCCGAGTAAGCAGAAATTTTAATGTAACAAACACAAATTACGATTGGGCGGCAGTTTGGCCATTACCTACCCCCGACCCACCCCCTGCCAAGGGCCTGTGTGCTCTGTAAATTTGCATGTGCTTTTGTGGTCCGTTTGTGTGGCTGTGTGTGTGTGTGTTCGTGTGCGTCGAGCACGAGGGCTTAAGAAAAAGCGGTTTGCGGTTTGAGTGTGCAAAATGAAAAGTTGTGTTAGCTCTTGTGGTTGTTAGCTGGAATGGATATTCGGTTTCAGATTGTGTACATTTTGGCAAACAAGCGTCTGGTCTTATCATATTCCTTGTAACATGCTTCTGCTGTCGTCTGTTTGGCCGGCTGTAAGTGTGCCATTAAATGCCATTAAGCACTTTGATTTTCCGTTTTCAGAGTTTCGCTTCGCCTACTTTTCATGTAAACGAACGCACGCACACAGCTACACATATGTATGTGTGCATGGCGTTGCCATGCGTGCGTGCTAATGTCTGGCAACATTTCGTTACATTTACGCCAGCCCTGATGGCGTTACGGGCCATTTGAATGCATGTTTACGTTGGCCCAACTCAAACCCTGACCCAGCCCGTTGCCTGAAAATATTTGACCACGACACGTGCACGTGTGTGTGTGTGAATTGTATGGAACGCCGCCAAGTCTTAAGTAAACTTGCATGTTCGCCTATAATTTGTCCAGCACTGGCTGGGCTGCTGCATGGCCAAACCAAGCGCTAGCTCCACCTGTCGGTTGGCAGTTTGCTTAAGGTAACCATCACATTGCTCAGCCATTTTTTTAAACGCAAACTCTGCATGACCCATTTCCTGCCGCAATGTGTATTTGCATGTGTGTGTGTGTCTGTGTGTGTGTGCATTTGTATTTGTTTTCGTAGCTCCGTTTTTTTTTTGTGGAATATAACTGGCGCGCGACATTATGCTGATATCCGAGGCGCATTTGGCTTTTCAAGTGGGCTCACGAGGGCTGTTCTAACCGTTTGCATTTCCATTAACCTCTGTTTGCCATCAAAAGTGCATTCATTTTCATTAAGTCGTTGCATTTGCACTTTTCATCAACAACAACAACAACAACAACAGCGCGTTCCATTTCCGTCTGTGCCACTTGATGCACACTGTGAATGGGCTTTGCTAAAGTTGGGGTTGGGTGTTTTTTTTTTAATAAACTGGCACACAAAACACCCTGTGTATCTGTGTGTGTGTGTGTGTGTGTGTGTGTGTGTGTGTGTGAGCTATTAATTAAAGCCAATGGAAATGGCAATGGGCCAAATGCAGTTGTTTTTTTTTTGGCATATTTTGTTGTTGTTGTTGTTGTTGCTTTTGTGTTTGCCACGCTAATATGCATATGAACGGTGGGCGGGGGCGTGGTCGGGGGCGGTAACTTACCTCCTCGTATATGAAGGTGTCAATCTCCTCCAGCGGCTTGCCGTACATGTCCTCCGGAAAGGGCTCAAACTTTCGGGGCAATACGTCGCCATCCTCCACGGAGGCTTTGGTGCGCGGATGGAAGCCATATTCGCGCACCAGCTGAATGTGGCGAGTCTCGTGCTTGACCTGCGACTTTTGCGTGTACGCGACGACCTGCTGTTTGGCAACTGCAACAAGAAAGAGAGAGACAGACAGAGAGAGAGTGAGTAAGAAAGTGTATAAGCACAGGGTGTCACTTAAAGCTATGAAGGCAACTGCCCAAATCCCTATTTTGTGCTTTTTGAAGATTTAAAGTAAATCAGTTTAGATTCTAATAGGAAAGTGATTAAACCTTTCACAGGGTGTCACAGTAATCTATCAACTCTAAGCTGATATAAATGAGAATAAATAAGCACATCACAGGGTGTCACAGAAATCTAAGAAGCCAACTGACCCAATTCCATTTTGCGGCCATTTAAGTAGTTTGAAAGTCTAAGCTAATATCAATTAGAATAATTATGAAAGTAAACAAGCTGAAGACTCTAATAAGGAAATGATGAAACATTTTACAGGGTGTCACAGAAATCTATAAAGGCAATTCAAATTAGAATTACAATGAAAGTAAATCAGTTCATAGTCTAATAAGAAACTACTTAACCACAGCACAGGGTGTCACAGAAAGGAAATGATTAAACATTTCACAGGGTGTCACAGAAATCTATAAGGGCAATACAAATTCGAATTAATATGAAAGTAAACCAGTGCATAGTCTAATAAGAAACTGCTTAACCACAGCACAGGGTGTCACAGAAATCTTTGAAGACTAAGCAGTTCGGGCTCTAATAAGAAAATGCGTAAACACTTCACAGGGTGTCCCAGCCAGGTGTCATTGAAATAGATAGTTTTGCGAATTTCCGAATTACACGCAGCAAACAATTGTTAAACATTGTAATTGCAATTAAATTGAATCAGATGAGAATGATTGAATCTGATTAAAGCCCATTTCAGAAGTCGTCCACCAACTCGACGTATGTACAAATGCTGCAGGCAATTGGAGGTGGTGTTTCCGGGGCAATAACTCGCTTTGTAACGCAGCCGTTTGATGTGCTAAAGATACGATTCCAATTGCAGGTGGAGCCGTTGAAGAGGAAATCGTTAAATTCCAAATATAGCGGAATGCTGCATGCGTTCTCCAGCATCTATCGGGAGGAGGGGCTGCGCGGCGTTTGGAGGGGTCACATGGCCGCCCAAATGATGAGCATCACATACGCCCTGGTGCAGTTCTGGTCGTATGAGCAACTGCATCGGGCCGCCTATCAAACAAAATTCTTTAACGAACATCCGCATCTCAGCTATTTTATGTGCGGCGGCCTGGCCGGCTGCATGGGCACAATATTGGCTCAACCATTCGATGTCATCCGCACCCGGGTGGTAGCCGCCGATCCGGGCAGTCATGCCGGTTCGCTAAAGCCGGTATCCGGCGTGGGCAAGATATTCAAAAACGAGGGAATACGCGGCGTCTCCAGCGGCATGATGATGACCCTCATACAGATCTATCCGCTGGTGGGCGCCAATTTTGTTATCTATAAGTTCTGCAATCGTTTGGCCATCAGCCTGAACGGTTATTTTCACAACGATCCCAATCCCAAGCATACAATACCCGGCGCCCTGTTGTTTTTCAATGGTGCCATTGCCGGTGTCCTATCCAAGATGCTGGTCTACCCAGCCGATCTGATCAAGAAACGAACCATGCTCAGCCATTTTCAGCACGATCGCAAGACATTCGGCAGCAATCCCAACTGCGACACCATAAGGAACTGTCTGCGCAGCACGTTCGAGCGGGAGGGCTGGCTGGGCTTCTACAAGGGTATGCTGCCCACGTTGTACAAGTCGGGCGTTATGTCCGCCTTCTATTTTACCATATACGATTATTTTAATCGCAACATTACCATGCCCTATCAGGAGTACGAGCGAGGCTTGAAGGCCAAGGAGGAGGAGCAGAAAAGTGTATTGGCAAAAGACAAGAAGGAGAAGGAGATGGAAAAGGAGAAGGAGAACAGGTCCGGCGTCAAGAAATCTGTGAAATAATTGAAACCATCTTGAAAAGTAAACAATTACAATATATATATAGATATATATATATATATATATGTATATAAATATGTATGTATATATACATTTGTGTATATACTATATGCAACAGAACTTCATTTCGATATGCTTTTCCTACACTTTCTTTTTGCCATATTCTTGGATTATAATAATTAATAATAATAATTTTTTATCATTTTAATAATCGATCAATTGATGAAAATCCAATGTGAAATGTATTCAAAGCCAGCAATTAGCTCTATGTATAGCCAAACTATAGCTGGGCCGATCTGGACATTAAACAAAGTCTGTGGAAAAGTTTAAATGCCTTGAGCATAAAACTTCATCCGATGTAAACTTAAACTTCGCCCTTACAAGTTTTCGCCACAAATGAAATGTCTTTAGAATCATTGGAACTGAGTTTGAGCCCGAGGATTTCACAATTATCCATTTTTTGTACCCCATTTCCCCATCGTGCAGTGGAAAATGGGTGATAAGCAGGTCCATGCAAACGAGTGGAATTACGCAAAAAACCTTTTTCTTCCTAGAGTTTTCGACCCAAATGATATTTCATAAGCATCCTTAGAAATTTCACACACACCCAATTTGTTTAGCCCATTTCGAGTCCCATTTCCCCATCGGGAAGTGGAAAATGGGTGATAAGCAGTTCCATGCAAACGAGTGGAATTACGCAAATAAACACTTTTCTTCCAAACGTTTTTGACTCAAATGAAAGTTCATAACAATCCTTAGAAATTTCACACATACCCAATTTGTTTAGCCCATTTCGAGTCCCATTTCCCCATCTTGAAGTGGAAAATGGGTGATAAGCAGTAAAAATTCCATGCAAGCGTGTGGAATTACGCAAAAAAACCTTTTTCTTCCTAGAGTTTTCGACCCAAATGATATTTCATAGGCATCCTTAGTAATTTCACACATAACCAAGCTGTTTACCATATTTCGAGTCCCATTTCACCATTGTGAAGTGGAAAATGAGTGACAAGCAGTAAAAGTTCCATGCCAACAAGTGGAATTCTCCAAAAAACGCCTTACTAAAGTTTTCGATTCAAATTAAGTTTCTTAAGAATCCTCAGGAATCTCACACATACCCATTTTTTAAAGCCCCCCTTTCCCCCACCTTCAAGTGGAAAATGGGTGGAACAAAAGTTCCATGCAACCAAGTGGAATTCTCCACAAAAAAACCCCATCTTAGCTCACACTCACATAAAGTAACTCAGATTTTCGACTCAAGTGAAATTTCATAAATTATTTCCCCAACGTGAACTGGAAAATGGGTGGAAATCATGCAAACGAGTGGAATTGTATTAAATTTGTATTCCCGCTTCCCTTCCGTCTCTTTTTGATAATGTTAACTAATTGTTTGCGAGGCAAACGTGTTTGTCGATCGTCGCATAATTATCATCATCATCATCCACATCGATGATAGCTTGATCTTGAAAGAGATTGCGTCATTGTGATGAGATGATGATGAGTCGAGTCTCGGAGCTGTTGCGGCATCTGTGGTCACTTTCACCCCGTCGGCGGCTGACATAACCGCGAGAGACGACTTTTCTGTGCTCTTAAATTATTACACTACATACTTTATTTTGTACACATGGACATATTCAAGATTGGGCTGGCCAATTAGCCAGTTATATAAATACGAAGAAGATGCGGATGTGGATGCAGATGCTGGAGGAGATGATGTAGCTTTCGGTTTGACTTGGGCTGCCAAACTTTGTGCTTGGTTTGTGCGCGAATCATAACTTATATCCAATGGGCCATGAACATGAACATAGACTAGACGACCAATGGCCACCCTGGCTGCTGCCTAGGACCAGCTGGATCCTCCGCCGCCGCCGCCCGACCAGCCGCCAGTGGGCGCCGAGTAGCTGTAGCCACCGCCGCCGCCGCCGCCGCCGGAGCCATGTGAGCCGCCGCCAGCAGCAGCTGCGGCAACCAGTTGGGTATCATCATGTCCACCGCTGTAGCCGCCCCCGCCTCCGCCGCTGCTGTAGCCGCCCCCGCCGCTGCTGTAGCCGCCTCCGCCGCTGCTGTAGCCGCCTCCGCCGCTGCTGTAGCTGCTGCCTCCACTGTAGCCGGAGTAGCCGGAGCTGACGCCGGAGCCAGCCCAGCCGCTGGCGGGCGCTGCATAGCTGCTGTAGCCCACATCACCGGAACCATGCGAGGCAGACGAGGAAGAGGAGGAGCTGGAGGCAGCTACCACAGCGGCCAAGTGCGCATCATCATGACCGCCGCCGTGTCCACCACCGCCGCCGTAGCCGCCGCCGCCGCTGCTGTAGCCGCCGTAGCCCCCGCCGCCGTGCGCAGAGGCATCCGAGCTGGCTGCAATGGCCGCAATCTGAGCCACACCATGACCATGTCCACCGCCACCGCCGCCGCCGCCGCCGCTGTAGCCGCCGTAGCCGCTGCTGCCATGTGAGGAGGCATCCGAGCTGGCTGCAATGGCCGCAATGTGCGCCACGCCGCTGTCATGGCCACCGCCATGTCCGCCGCCGCCATGTCCACCGCCGCCGCCGCCGCCGGCAGCAGCTGCAATCACTGCCAGCTTGGCCTCATCGTGTCCATGGTCATGTCCGCCGGCGCTGTAACCGCCGCCATAGCCGCCGCCGCCGCCACCGCCGCCGCCGCCGTAATGACCGCCACCCGAGGCGCCATGATTCTCGGTGATGATAGCAAAGGTGCTTACATGTCCGCCGCCTCCGTAGCCGCCGTCGCCTCCGTAACCGCCGCCTCCTCCGCCGCCGCCATGACCATGATCGTGTATCTCGTAAGCGGAAAAGTCGCCGCCGCCGCCGCTGCCGCCGTGACCATGGCCATGATCATGACCGCCGCCGCCGCCGCCGTCACTTTCGGGCAGGTGTATGCGTATATGGACGTGCTCCCGACCAAAGGTGGGCTTGCCCCAGGCGGCCGGACTGGCGAGCAGTAAAACGCTCAGCTGCGCAAATGTAGGACGCCGGTTAAATTCCACTAAAAACAATTGCAACAACAACAACAACAACAACGGTGCACACTCACTATGAAATACGCCGCCATTTTGTTAACGTTCAGGATGTGCCTGCCTTTGACTTCTGTACCCTTTTTGGTCGTCTGCTGGGGACAACGACAAACTGTAAATGATTCGGCAAACGTTGCAACGGCGCGTTTTATACACGAAACAAACCAACGGGAGATGCCGAATTTAACCTGAGTCGCCGTTATGTAAGTGTTGGCAAGTGCCAAAGATAATCTTGAGCTGAGAGCGAGAGAGCGAGAGCGAGAGAGCGAACGGGCGGGCGTCTGCAGACGACGACGGCCCATTGAAGGCCGTCTCGTTTTGCTGTTCGCTTTCGTTTTCGTTTTCTCTCTCTCTCTCTCTCTCTCTCTCTCAATTTCGTTTTCGTTGCGCGCTCGAGAGTGTTGACCTTTCACACGCGAGACGAGCGCCCTTTGCAAAACTTGTACGAGATCAAGATCGAAAAAAAAAACAAAAACTCTGGCAGCTCTTCCGCTCTTTTTTGTTGTGCAAAGGAGGGAGTGAGGGAGGGGGGGGGGGGCGCAGTCTGTGCAGTGCTCCACTTTCATTCACTAAGAGAAAATCTGGTTGGGCTACGAAAATTTTGAAATTCAAATTTTAAATCGAATATCGACAACGAACAACAAAAAATAACATTAAATTAATATGCAAGTTGAGCAGACAACCCCCCCCCCACCCACCACACTCTCCCATCACACCCCTTCTCTTGTCGTAATTTATCGTTGTTATTTGCTGCTGCTGGTTAGGTATTAACAGTTATTTTGATTGTGTTTACGTTTATGCTTACGGTAATATTGCTGCCGATATGAACTTCCTATTGGCAATTCCTTTTGTTGTTGTCGCAGTTGTTGTTGCTGCTGCCCGTGAGCCTTAGCCTTACACAACAAAAGGAGACAGCAATAACAACAACAACAACAACTGCTTGCATAACGGCCCCGCTGGCTTGGCTGGCTTTTGATTGGCCAAACCCTTTTGCTTACGGGTTTTTGTTTTGTTTTTGTTATTTTTTCTTTGAGCTTGGACTTGACGCGTTGTTAACCCATTAACAATATCATATGAAATGTATCTCTCTCTCCCTCTCTCTCTCTCTCACTCTCTTGAAAATAATTAAGCTGTCATCGGCATTTGCGGCATTTGGTGTTGCACATCAAAAATTGGTTTAATTTGCGCCAGTTACAATTGCTTTTTTTTTCTTTCTTTCTGTTTCCGTCCAGCGTAAAGTGTGATTTTTATGTGTGTTAGTGTGTCAATCCATTTAAATTTGCAAATTGTCTTTATTGCCTGCTTATTTCTGCTTTAAGCTTCACAGATTATGTACACCGTTAATTGAAATGTTCAATTTAATAAATGATCTGTTAAAAAGCCAAGATTAAGAGGATTTTTTTTTTGATTAATCTCAACGGAACATGCCAAATATTGGAATAGTCAATTTACAAAAAGATTGAATATATGTATGCAACAAACGGTAGTGAGAACGAGTGAAAATGGAAAAGGGAACAGTTGAGAATGGAACATTGTGAACGTAGCAAATAAAAATAGAAACATATTGGGAACAAACGAAACACCTTATCAGCGGGAACAAGTGGTATTTTTACCAGGTTAACATTTAAGGAACAGGATTAGAAGCATAAGAAGGGAACAAATGAAAATGGAACATTTCGCTAGTGAAGGTAACAAATGAAACGAGAAACAAGTGGTATTGGAAACATGTGAAACACATAATCGTATGGAACATGTGAAAATCTTTTCTTGGTTCAAATTTAAGGAACAAGTGAAAATGAAATGAAACAATTGAAAATGGAACATTGAAATAGTGTAGGTAACAAATGAAAATAAAAGTGAAGCAGAACATTTGAAAATGGAACATAATGGGAACAGGTAGAAAGTGAAACCCTTTATGATGGGGAGCAAGTGGAAATCTTGGCAGTGATAAGCGAAACAAGTGAAAATGGAAACTTATCAGGAAATGAGCAGACAAATGAAGTGAACGAAGAGCTCAAAGAGTTGCCTGATGGAGAATATGTCTCTCAATTGGATAAACAAATAATATTTAAAAGCTATTCTTCCATCTATTCAACCCTTTAACAAAACAAAGGGAGTGAAGTAATACGAGGATTAAACGCAATTCGAATGGGCATTTGTTTAAGTACTTTCCCAATTGGTGGCCAATTGGATTTGGGACTTGCCACTGGCTGAACAGATCACGCTCTGTTGCAGCTTTGGCGAAACTGTGTTGATTTGCCGCTCATTCTTACATCAGAGACGAGGTCATGGCCAGAGCGCGCCCGCATCCGTATCTCTGCTCGCCAATGTATCTGTATCTGCAACTGTTGTATCTGTATCTGTATCTGTAACCATAAATGTGCATGATGGACGGGTGCCATTGTTTTGCTTTCGCTGCCGATTAGTAACACGGTCTTCATTAGTGCTCGCTGAGCGCCAGATGGGCGGCAATATTCATTACCGCTATCATCAGCTGATGAGGGGGTCTGTGGGGAGGGGGGGGAGGCAGATGTAACCATGCAAATCAGTTGATTAACATTCCTCGAAGCCCTGCAAGCCTCGCCGATCAGTTGCCCATCTATTGCCAACAAAAATGTAAACAAAAGACCTATGAAATTGCCGACGACCAACCAGGTCGAATCATATTAAAATCATCAAACCAGGTGCTTACATAAAAGCTACTTCAGCAGCAACAACAACAACAACAACAACAACATTGAGGGCAGCTGTTACAAATCAAATAATAGGGAAAAAGCTTTCAACGTCGCACCGTTTGCTTAGATACCCTGACTTATATATTTCTAGATGCAAATTTTCAACAAAAATTATCATTGAACATGTAAAAACGAAAATAATAGCAATAAGAGAGACAGAGAGAGAGAGAGAGATTAGAAGAATTCGTAAATCAAGTTAGCTCCTCGGGGGCTCAGAGAGAGGGAGAGAGAAAGAGAGAGAGGGACACATCTACGTATCGGGACTTTCAAAAAAGAAAAGTTCCGATTCGAACCACTTTGCTGGGCCCTTTGTAGCTGGGTTTTCCTGAAACGTTTCTTATATTTTAGCAAATGCTTCGGTTTGGTTTATAGTTGATCTGTTTTTCTTTCTTGGAAAACCTAGAAGGCCTTAGATTGAGACTTCTTAAGATATGTCTAAAACAGAGATATGTATAAAGAAAGATACTTTTAGAGTTAACAAAGTCATAATATAGCAGACTCTCAGACAGTTTCAAGCTGTCTTAACCCTGAGGGCTCTTTCCTGGACCCCAAAGGTTTTTTTCTGTTATGCAACAACTTTCATAATAACCATAATAATGTGATTATATATACATATATATATATATGTGCATATCATATACCATAAAATCGGATTACGCTTCAGTTACATAACCGAGCACAACAGGTGCGTATAAAAGCAGCCGCGTTAAGTGTTTCTTTAAACATTCAAAAAGAATTCCTTCGCAATGAACTTCAAACTGGGATTGCTTCTGGCCTTCTGCGCTGCCCTGCTGCCAAATGTGGTCGTCGGTGAGCCCAATTATGTCGACAGTGTGCCGAATAGTCCGCTCAAATTGAAGGAATAAATAAATCCTATTATTCTGAACTATCCAATTTGCGACTGTGTTTTTATTGTTATACATCTGCATCTAGAGCTGGGCAGCTTTAATGTTTACTGAAAGTTCACAAATTGGCAACAAGACGAAGCTTCGAGCTCCAAATGGGGCAACAAGTTAGTCAAAGCTAAGCGTCGTGGCTAGGGATTGCGGATTGGGTATAATAAATAAGACGGGTTCAAGCAACCGAGAAGTCTTTCGATAATTTCTCCGTTCTATAAACTTTCGAGTCAAACTAAACTTCAGTTCTTACCTAGCTTGTTTCTTGTTTCAATGAAAGTCCTTTTTCGATTCCTCATAATATTCGCTAAATAATAATAAATCCTTTCCTTTTCTGAACAGTTCAATTTGCGATTGTCTTTTTATACCCTGAACCCATTAAAGATGGGATGTATGTAACAGGCAGAAGGAAGCATCTCCGACCCCATAAAGTATATATATTCTTGATCAGCATCAATAGCCGAGTCGATCTAGTCATGTCCGTTGTTCACAAGTGGAAAGTTTTGGGCTCAGGCTCTAGAGAAAACGGGTTACACGAATATACATATAGACGCTTTCGATCGGTTCTGTATCTTTCGGAAGTTGCCACGAGTTAAACATAATTTCAGTTCTTACATAACTTCCTTCATAACCATAACAAAATCGTTGTTGATTGTATCGAATCGGATTAGATTCGCAATTATAAAGGTTGCATATATAAGGAGCCCGTTGTCGGGTTCAAAAACAATTAGTCGCCATGGACTTCAAACTGGGATTGCTTTTGGCCTTCTGCGCTGCGTTGCCTAGTTTCTACCCTTCGGGCGCGAAGCCGCTTAAATTGAAGGAATAAAGAAATCATCTTTAACAATTTCTATTTGTGATTGTGTACTATTTCTATATCTACATCTGTATATATGACATAAAGCAGAGTTGACAAGCTGAAATTCTTACTGAAGCTGCCTTAAGGTTCAAAAGTGAGCCTCAACTTTCAAGTGGGGAAAAAAGTTGGTCCAAGTTTTGTTGAAGAAACATCAACAAAATTTGCTAAACGACTGTGAACGTAGAACCAGCAAGCAAGAAGTCGCCGGCTCAAATTTAATGGAAATGGAATTAGTTTATATAAACTAACTTCAAAAATATTAAACGGGAAGTGATATAGAAGATATGCTGATGTTGGCTATAGAAGACGAAGATATCCGAAGCGAGTTAACAACAAATTGTTTTGAGCTGCTTTCGAAGCGTTACAAGCACGATGTGGTTGTGCAGTGTGCCCCGAATAGTTAGAGTATAGCTGGCAACGATGATTAGGTAAAACCAAATGAAAAGCATTTCAAATACAACAAACTAACAGATATATATCTATCTATATATAAGCCAGACCTTAAAAGTGATTAACTAACTGGGAAAATCAAGTTGCAAGTTCGTATGTAACGCTTGATGATGATGGCAAACAGCCAAGCAAAGCAGCAGCCGGAGGGTGAGAGTGAGAGAGGCAGAGAGCGAGTGGAAGGGAGAGGGAGGTAGACTGGGAGACTGGGAAGCAGGGCTACGTTGATGGGCAACCGGTTGGCGGTCGCACATTAACATTAAATGCAACCAACGCACATCTTTCCCGTATTGCATAATGCAGCAGCAAAAGAAACTGCAGCAGCAGCAGTAAAAAAAAAGTCAACTGCAGCAGCAGCAGCAGCAACCTGCAGTGGAAACCGGCTGGCAACATCTTCGGCAGATGCGCGACTTGGTTTATGCGGAAGCAAAGCAATTCTCAAAGCGACAATGGAACTGAACGACTAGCAAGATACCCTAGGCTGTCTAGCTGGCTTCAACTCACACTAAGACAAATGATATCTAGATGGAATTGCCTGCGAATAGTTGAAAGAGAACATTTCTACAGTCTGTTGCAATTTGTGAGGCATGGCAGTAGGAAGGCTGTGCTGGGCTTGAGTTATTCTAGAGATCTTAGCCAAAAAACTATGATACCCATTTTTCAGCATTTTGCGGAAATTGCACACAGACACACAGGCACACTTATGTGTGTGTGTGTGTGTGTGCTTGTGTAAGTTGGCTTTTCCAAAACTGAAAACAAAATAAACCAGTCGAAGCCGCATTCATGTTAAGACTCGCTGCAGCTGTGCCCAGACCTTTGCACAAGTTCAATGGTGAGCTGCGGCTTGGCTAGCTCGAAACTGTGACTATTGTGAATGTGTGTGCGTGCGTGTGTGTGTGTGTGGCATAATTGCCCGTCAGCGGCACTTTCTTTCTTTTCGGCGCGCTTCCTGGCCAAAAGGCAAATTGAATTGCGGCCCAAAAGAAAATATCAAAAGAAATACAAATAAAATAGAATGCAGTCCAAGGTAAACTGCGAGGAGAGGCAAAAAAAAACACACACACACACACACGCATACACAGTTTGCTCTACATATTTAATTAGTTTCCGTTTCCGTTCATATTTGTATTCCGTTGTCGCAGTCTTTGGGCCACGCCCCCACCGCCGCGCCCACATGCTGCGCTTCGGCCTTTGTGCATTGTTTCGAGCTGCATTGCGCTGAACGTTTGTCCCAGCTGCGCAATTGTCCTGTGCTCCTGGCCCTGATAAACCGACCCACCCCCCCCCCCCCCCCCCCCCCCCTGTTTCGTAACTTATGGCCAGTCATTAGCGAAAGTAAAGAGAGAGGGGAAGGAGGGGGTGGGGTTGGCTCCCAGAGCGATTGCGTTTTTGGTTTATCATTTATTTAAACAGCCTCCAGTCCTGCTGCTCCTTAAGTGTAGTTGTGTGCGTGTGCGTGTGCGTGTGCGTGTGCGTGTGTGTGTGTGTGTGCTTGCAGGGCATATTTGATTCGAGCTCGAGTCAGATTTTATTGAGCTGCACACACACACACACACACACACACACACGCACACAATGAGCAATGGCTATTTAATTATGCTGATGAGCCAAGCCAGGTCCGCGTTGAGGCTCCCAACAAAACACACACACACACACACCCGCACACACACTCGCACACACGCACACCAAAGCTAACCGTAAATACTCGCCCATTGCCACCCGCCCGCTGTCCCAGTTCCTGCCAATCCGTGCACAGCTTTTAGCCTTGCGTGTTGCTCTACTCTACTCTGTTGGCCCCCCCCAAGCCGGGCCGGGCATATTAGCTTCGCTCACTTCGTATAGTTTTTGAACAGTTGAATGTGTCGAATCGGTTTATATGAATTAGATATGCAACTACAAGAATTGCATATAAAAGGTGTCCGATTTGGGATTTTCATTATATTTGATTAGTAAAAACAATGAACTGGAAACTGGGCTTGCTTTTGGCCGTCTGTGCTGCATTGCCTAATGTATATACAAATTTGGGAAGTCCAGTCAAATTACGTGATTAAAGTAACCTCTGCTTGCAAAGCATTCAAATTTGCGATTGTGTTTTTATTATATAGCCCTAACTCTATAGCTATGACATTGAGAAAACCCAAGCAGTTCGAGTTGGGAAGCTTAGCACCCAGGCGGGACTTCGATTCCCAACAGCGGGGCTAAAGGTAGTCAACATTTGAACGAGCACGAAGTCTTCTGGGCGTCAGGCCGCCAAGAAGCCGTAAGAGACGAGTAAACGCGTGCTGGATAATTGATCGGTTCCATAGCTTACGAGTCAAACGTAACTTCAGTTCTTACCTAACTTGTTTCTTGTTTCAATGAAAGTTCTTTTTCGATTCCTCATAATATTCGCTAAATAATAATAAATCCTTTCATTTTCTGAACAGTTCAATTTGCGATTGTCTTTTCATACCCTGAACCCATCAAATATGGGCAAATGTATGAAACAGGCAGAAGGAAGCATCTCCGACCCCATAAAGTATATATATTCTTGATCAGCATCAATAGCCGAGTCGATCTAGCCATGTCCGTTGTTCACAAGTGGAATGTGGGAAATTTTGGGCTCAGGCTCTAGAGAAAACGGGTTACACGAATATACATATAGACGCTTTCGATCGGTTCTGTATCTTTCGGAAGTTGCCACGAGTTAAACATAATTTCAGTTCTTACATAACTTCCTTCATAACCATAACAAAATCGTTGTTGATTGTGTCGAATCGGATTAGATTCGCAATTAGAAGGGTTGCATATATAAGGAGCCCGTTACCGGGTTTTATTTTATTCAAAAACAATTAGTCGCAATGGACTGCTTTTTTATTTCCATAAATCTATAACTAAGACTTATGAAACCCAAAAGCTAATAGTTGCTTAACTTGAATGTTTACTGAGGCTTCCTGAAGGTTCGCAAGTTAGGAAGATGACAAAATTTGACTATGGAAACATGAGGTTACGTGGATGAGCGTCGATCTAAGGATTGAGGGGCTAAGCATCGGTATAATGAACACGAAGCTTAAGGTTCAAGCTCCCGAGAAGACGTAAGACGCGAAGACATATAGACATATATTTTGCAGTACGTCAGGTTTATTCAGCTGTTCGCTTCGATCTGTTGACAGCTTTTGAAGGCTGCAAACGCCTTTGTCTGGAAAACAAAGTATTTTGCAGTCGTTGTTGGTTTCACTTGAAATCATTTTCACCTGTTTGCCTTTGGGCCAGTTGGCGGGTGTCCGACGGGAGGCATCTCTCCTGCCAGAGCTGCTTTCATATGCATGGCCCAGGCGCAGCGCAGATTTGATGGCAACCCGCACCCAAACGCGAACTCGACCCCGGCGCCCTTCGCCCGACCCCGGCAATCTGTTTCATACTCGATATTTATGGCTTCCTGGGCAACTACATTTATATATATATATATATATATATTTGTATATATTTACACGTGTATCTGGGCATCTTGCGTGGCTCTGCGGCAGTGTTGCCAACTGTCGCTAAAAATGGCTAACTCTTATGTTGAACATAGCTTAAGAAAAGCTAAATTCAATTCTGGGCATCAACTATTTGTTGTAACAACAAAATTAGTTTAAGAAACGCAATAAATTTGGGCAGTGTGCCCATAAAAACCTCTACGAGTAGCTAAAGTTAGCTGGAAAATGGCTGAATTGCCAACACAAGCTAAAAATACAGACTTAAATATGTACAATTGTCTTAGGATTAAGGGACAAATGCAAATTTAAACAGTTTCCGGTAATATTTAGCTAGAAAATAGCCCGTTTTCCAACACTGGCTAAGTACAATAAGTACAATTTCCATAGTTATAGCGACGCAAATGCAAATTTAATCAGATTTCGGCTATATTTAGCTAGAAAATAACTTATTTTCCAACACTGGCTGAACTATAATTAACTATACAGGCTTAAACAAGTACAATTTTCATAGTTATAGTGGCGCAAATGCAAATGTTTTCAGTTCCCGACTATATTTAGCTAGAAAATAGCTTATTTTCCAACACTGGCTAAACTTTAATTAACTATACAGTACAATTGCCATAGTTATGCGGGGCAAATGCAAATGTTATCAGATTCCGGCTATATTTAGCTAGAAATTATCTTATTTTCCAACACTGGCAAAACTATAATTAACTATACAGATTCAAATAAGTACAATTGCAATCGTTGTAGGGGCGCAAATGCAAATGTTTTCAGTTCCCGGCTATATTAAGCTAGAAAATAGCTTATTTTCCAACACTGGCAAAACTTTAATTAACTATACAGGCTTAAATAGCAATAGTTATAGGGGCGCAAATGCAAATGTAATCAATTAGCGGCTAAATTTAGCTTGAATATAGCTAAACTGGCAGCAGCAGCTGGTTGGTTTATGCACTCACCTTTATCTTCATTCTGCGCAGCGAGCGTCTGATCATCACTCATCTTGACTGATTGTCCTCGTTAATGTCCTTGTGCCTGGGTGCCCGGGTTGCTATTGTTGTTGCATATCTTGCTTACAATTTCCCCCCTCTCTCTCCCTCCCTCACTCTCTCACACTCTCTGTCTCTCTTTCTCACTGACGCTTTGTCACAGTTTTGCTAGAGTCCGTGCTGCTCACACATTGGAATCGTCGCATTTAGCGTTAAGTTTGTCGCCTTTGTTAACATTTCGCATTTCTTTAGCATTTGTTGGCTGGCAGCTGCCTTTCGGCCGGGTCCAAAGCCGTTAAGGCTATGCAAATCTGATGATTATGACAGTTTCCAATGTTGGGCATCCTCCACCCCCTTCTTCCAAAATCCCTTTTGTTGCGTTTGTTGCGTTGTTTATTGTTGTTGGGCCGACATTTTTGTATGCTTTGTATTTGGGTTAACTGCAAAATGGCAAATGAGAAAAGCGACAGCTTATTAGTTTTTCAGCCCATTTATAGTCACATCAGTAAATGGGCGCACGCACAATACACTTGCACGTCTTAAGGCAAGTAGTTTCGAGTCGCAAGCCCTACATTGGGGGAAATGTGTTGGGGATTCGGCATAGTTCGATTAAATTGGAATTCAGATAAACACTTGTCGATGGATTTGAACCAGCAACCAAATGACTGACTCATATCAAACTTTTTTTAAGAAAACATTACATTCTCATTTTCTTAGCTGATAAAGAAACAAGTAAGAGGTTCTAGTCGGGAGCTCCTGACCAGGGGATACCCTGAACCCTCGTCTTCCAACATCAAATGCATATATGTATATATATTCTATTTTAGAAGCTATATGTCAAGTTTGGTGACTCTAGCTCTTATTATTTACCAAAATTGCCCAAAAAACAGGATATCGTTATCGATTTTTATCGATTGCTTGGAAACGGAGTAAGTTATCGATTATCGGAAACAAACTCGATCTGCGCGGGAACTAGGAGCATCTACATCTTTTTCAAGTCTCTAGCTCTTATAGGTTCTGAGATCCTTGAGATACGGACAGACGGACGGACGGACAGACGGACATGGCTAGATCGACTCGGCTATTGATGCTGATCAAGAATATATATACTTTATGGGGTCGGAGATGCTTCCTTCTGCCTGTTACATACATTTGGATTTCGCACAAATACAATATACCCTTATACCCATTTTGAATGGGTTCAGGGTATAAAAACAAAAAGCTTCCTTGATTTTGGTTAAGTAACGCCCATATCTGGTTAGGCCCACACATATATCCTTTCATTTATAGTTCTATTTAATTTCAGCTGCAGCTCGATTCGCTGTCAATTGTGACCGTCATTAAGCGGAAATTGGCTGACGCTAATGCGCAGCTTAAGACACCTGCACGGGCGGCTTATGCGGCGTGTACGTAATGCGCTCGCATTACGTTTACGTAACGTATACGTAATGTGCGTAACGGAAATGATAAACACACACAGAACCGGAAAATGTGCAAGCTTTAAGACTTAAAGCTGTATAAAGATAAAGTTAATTAACATTATGGCAACACACACAGACACACACACACACACACAGAGGTGCGCACAACTAAAAGTAAGTTACAAGAAATTGATAAATGGCGCACAGCAAAAGGCAAATAGAAGGAGGCCACGCTCGGATGCTGCTTGTGTGTGTGTGTGTCTTTACCGTTATTGTTGTTATTGTGGCCGGATAGGGTGGAGGTGGGTGGGGGGTTGGTTGGGTAGGCCTGCTTCCTGTTGTGTTTTTACAAACTTCTTGACACCGCTGACGCTGGCGAAATGGAGAAACGTTAGATGAAGTGCCATAAAATATTCAATATCAAGTTTGCCAGCGCGCACACACACACACACACACTCGCATAGTGCAGGCAGGTGTGATGCCTCCTGTCGGAAGCCACACTGTGATTGAGCGCGGGCGCAGGGAGCTGTGCGGGGGGAGGGGCTGGCGCGCAGGTGTCAAGAGGGCGCAACAATGCAGTCATAAAGGCGGGCCCGGCCTTAGACTTGGGTACAGTGAACGCTCGCTGAAGCGAACATAAGTAAGAGAAATGTGCAAAATAATAATTGAGTATAAACCAAAATTAAAAACATTATTGATTAATTACTAAATCCAAAAATATCAAAATCTAAGCGCCTATTAATAGAATTTTCATATGAAATTAAAAAAAGTTATTTAAATATTATTTTAAGCTGGAAATTCTCTGTCTATCTCTTTTTCTCAAATCTTGTGTATATATATAATTTGTTATTATTTCCAAGAAAAAAAATCAATCGCCGAGCAAGCTGCAAGAAAAGTTGTTGCACAATAAAAAAACTTCGCGTTTTCTTTGAAAGAAATGGAAAACGAGTTTGTGCGCGGCTAAAGAATAACTTACTGTATCTGTGTGTGTGTGTGTGTGTGCCCAGCAGCGGGCAGTAATCAGTAAGCGGGACCCCTGCGGTACGCGTCCCCTTACCCTCCCCCCCAACCCCCTCGCTCGCACCTGCAGCGCTTTTTGTTAAGCACACAAATCGTCAAAATATTTTTTATTACAACAATAAGAGCAGCTCGTCCGCTTTAACAGAGCCAAGTTAAGACGAGGCGCGGTTGTTTTTGGGCGTGACCTCAGGCCGCAGGTGCGGGCAGCAGGAAGCTGGCCTGCGCCTTGCGCTATGCTACACTTTCTTCTTTCTTTCTTAGCCAGCTGCCGCACGAACTGCTGCTGCGCTAGTTAAGTGCAGAACATCAAGCGCTAATTTATGGGCCAAAAAAACGAGAAGAAAAAACCCGAAAAAAAAATGAAACGCGCCGCAACCGCAATGGCCGCAACGGGCCACACAGCAAACGGCCCGCCCACCAGGCAAACACCCGTTACCCGCCCACCGCATGTATTAAAACCCACACACATATATGCATATGGCAATGTGTGAGTGTATGAAAATGTTCGCTGATTTACCTTTAAATATGTTTAATTGCTTTGTATTGCATTTGATTGTAGTTGTAGTTGTTGTTGGTATTTTCTTTATGTAATCGCTGAACAACGCACAGACACACACACACACACAGGCACACAGACACGCGTGTACGCAGGCTTGTGCGTGTGTGCGTTTACATTTCAATTTGCCAATGCACTAGTTACTATTTATATATGCACACATGCATGCATACACACACATACAGATAAGTGCATATGTATATGTAATTTTGCTAGCGGCTGCATTCGATTGTTGATATTTTCTGGTTCCTTTTTGCTTCACTTTGCTGCGGCTACTTCAATTGGCCACAGCTGGGCACACTTTTGTTATGATTATTGCGGTCGCTGCTGCCTATTGTTGTTGTTGTTGCTGTTGTTGTGTGTGTGTATATATTTTACATTAATTACATTTATATTTAAGTCGCAATCGCCGTCTTGCGATTCTATGCAACAATGCTAACCAAGGAAGCGAAGGAGCTGGCAATGGCAACAAAAAATAGCGCTGGCACGCACATTGTTTGACACATATACACACACGCACACGACGACAACGACGACGGCAGCGGCGGCGGCGTTGCACGCACACACCTTAAGCTGAGAAGTGTTATTACAATTTACTGTTGATTTCGTTTTGCTTTTGTGCGAGGGCAGCGAGAGCGCGCGCGAGCGAGAGAGCAACAGCACAAGCGTCACAGTTGCTTTGAATGTGTGTATGTGTGACTGTGCATGTGTGACTGTGTATGTGTTGGTCTTTGGCTACTGCGAAAGCGTGCGAAAGAGCGCGAAAATGTAGGTTAGTTTCCGTTATATCCTGCTTTACAACAACAACAACATGCACATTTCACTCTATTTTTGGGCGCAGAAGACTTTTTCGCTGCTTGCACTTGTAAATCTCTGCCCACTCTTTGTGTGTGTGTGTCAGTGTGTGTGTGTGTGTGTGTATGTATGTCAGTGTGCTGTCCTTTCTCTTATTCGTTTTTGTTTCTTTATGTTGCTGGCTGTTTTATTTTATTTCTTTTTTTTTTTTTTGATTATTATTTTATTTGTTCTTTTGTGTTTGTGTGTCTAGCACTACGGACGCGTGCATTGCAATGGCGACTGCTCGGTTCTAAGGTTCGTTGGTGACTGACTGCGAGCAAACGGGTTTTCCTTTCCGTTTGACGTAATCTGCAGAGCAGCCAAAATTTCCCAGTATTGCGCACATGCCAGGACACGCGAGCATGGTACTTTTCTCTCTCTCTCTCTCTCTGGCATGGCGTGTGCCATGTGCGTGTCGCAGCGAGCCACGGCAACTGTTTTGGCCAAAATGTCAAAAGCAAGCGACCGACCAGGCCAAAATAGTTACGACTCATGGCCAGCGTCAATTTGGCACAGCTTGTTCTCCTGCCGGCATAAACAAATGCGCTGCTGGGCATGCCCCAATTCCCATTATTTTCGGCGCTGCCTCTGCTGCTGCCTCTGCTGCTGCTCTGCCGCCGCAGGCCGTCTGTCTAAAAATGTCAAAATTATTAAGCACAAATATGGGCCATTGACTAACAAAAGAATTGAAGCTGCGTCGCCTCTCGCTTTGCCATTCAATCGAATTGCAACTTAACTGCCGTGGCGTATACGTTATTTAACCGGTATGGGCGTACACACGGCGTATGCTTCATTTCAATTTCGTGCATGCGGCACGGCCTTGAGTTCCGGGCGCATCCGCAATGCACTACAAAAATAAACAATGTGTTAATAATGCTTCCAAAAAAAACACAACAACAACAAAAATGCTGATATACTATGTTCAGCTCGCTTTACTCTTTCCTCGACGTTTTCTATGCTCCCAAGCTGAACTCGCACTTGCGAAACTGATAACAACTGCGACTTAAAATCTCCTCTAAAATGGGTAGTTTTGTGAGTAAGTTAATTAATAAGAATTTTCAATTAAATATACCTCAATTGAAAATGATATGCGAAAGAAATAGTGGGAAATTTCGAATTTTTATGATATGTTCGCTTTTCGTTCCGGTTTAACTTGGGTGTTAAGTGTCCGATCTTTCTGAAATTTTCAGCACTTAAATATGGCATAAAAAAGGATGTAAATTCCAAGGCCCAAGACTATAGCACCAAATTTGCAACATTTTTTACAATTTCAAGAAAGTCAGCTGGAGTTAGCCAAAAAGTGAAATATTCTGGATCTGTGTAAGCCATACAAGAGTCGACATACCAAATTTGATGTCTCTAGCTCTTAAAATCTTCGAGTTATGTTTAAGAATATTGTGAAAATGACGAATATGTTTATAGTGTAGGATAATATATATCGAAGGATTGGCGGTAGATCTTGATATGGAAGGGCTAAATATGGTGAGATGAATTGTATGTAAGAAGAGAAGAATTATAATGCAATTTTATATAGTTCTCCCACTCTTTATCTTCTACGATAGTTCTTTATAGAACTACGACTACTTAATAAACCGCCCACGCCTTCGTTCAAATTAATGCCCAGATAGAAAAACCCCATTGAAATTGTGCGCTCAGTGCGCATCTAGAGCTCAGAGCTGGGTGAACGTAAACACAAACAAATAATTAAATAAAAAACAACGCATTTTCAAGTTTTGCGTGATAAGCTACGAGTTATCTGCAGCAGCTGCTCAGCGGAAGCCCGCTCCAAGCCAATCTTCGCCATGCTGTGGCAGCGACTCCTGTTGCTGCTGCTGGTCGCCACGGCGTGTGGGGCCACGCCCAGTTCGAATCATTCCGCCCGCTATGAGGAGTCGACGCTGCGTATACTGGATGTGGCCACGGAGCGTATGCGCGGCATTTGGGATATGCGCAGGCGCATCTTTCTGCAGCTCACCTCGAAGGGCAAGTCGCCATTGGGCGGCCAGGCGCCCAGCAAGCAGGAAGTGGAAACGGAAACGTATAAGCTGGCCTATGAGCTGGCCGCCAATCTGAGCGTGGTGCCCGTGGAGCAGCTAAGGGATCCACAGCTGCGACGTCGCGTCCAGCGTCTGGCCAAGCTGCAGCTGCAGGGCCTGCGGCCCGCCGACTATGAACAGGCCAAGGATCTGCTGCGCGCCATGCAGAATTTCATCAGCGGCTCGCTGGTCTGCACCCATGACGACTGCTCCGCGCGCCGGCCCCTGGCCATGTATCCGCAGATCTACAATCAGAATATGCGCAGCAAGAGCTACGATGATCTCAAGCTCAACTGGTACAGCTGGCGCAGCGCCATCAACGACAAGGACACGGCCAAGTCCACATTCATCGACTACGTGCGTCTGTTGCGCATCGCGGCCACCTACAATGGGCATGTGACGCCCTCGCGCACCTGGTACCTCTACTATGACACCGAGAATTTTCAGGCCGAGATGGAGGATGGTAAATAACAATCTATTTGAATTTACACTATTTTTGTTAAGTGATTGATTGATTGATTGCTGCTCAAGGCACAGCCTAAAAAAGAAACAAGCAACTCGTTATTTTTATAGACAATCTATTTTCGCTGACTAATTGATTGACTGACTGGTTGATTAGCTGACTGATTTATTGACTGGCTGATTGATTGACTCACTGAGTGATCGGCTGACTGATTGATAGATTTACTTATTGATTGACTGACTGATTTATTAACTGTCTGACTAATTTAGTGACTGATTGATTGACTAATTAATTGATTGACTGATTGATTGGCTAATTAATTGACTGACTAACTAATTGATTGGCTGACTGAATGTCTGATTAATGTTCTGACTGATTGATTGACTGACTAATTGATTGACTAACTGTCTGATTAATTTACGGACTATTTGATTGACTGACTGATTGATTGATAGCTGATGATAGCCCCACAACGCAAGCAAAGGGGTGGCATATGGGGGTCCTACTTTTAAGGCCGTGATGGACAACTAGAAGTATACATCTATAAATAAATAGCTGAGTGTACTGATTGATTGATTGATTGAATGATGCTCAACACGCTGCCCAAAGAACTGTGAAGAAAATAGGGGTGCAATTTTCAAGGACATAACAAATAGCAAGATATCTGCATATACAATTATTAGTGCTGACTGATTGATTGACTGACTGATTGACGAACTGATCACATGCCCACAATCAAAGCAAAAGGGTGTTATTTGAGGCTGCAAGTTCCAGGGTCGTGCCACAGAAGCGTAAATTATAACTAGAAATCGATATATATTAAATTATTTGTGCTGATAGACTGATTGAATGAGTGGCTGATTGACTGAGAGCTGCGAAACAGCTGGATGGGAAATGGGGATATAAGACACAAGTAAGGGCGACCTATAAATCGAATATATAAAGTCGGATCTTGGAGAGATTTACCTTGTTAATGATTCGATGATTTATGATTCGACATATTCCCAGTTATCTGGGAGATAATGCCGCTGTATCGGGAAATGCATGCCTATTTGAGGCACTCGGCGATGCTGGCCTATCCGAAGGCCAACTTCAAGGATGATGGCGCCATATCGGCGCCCGTAATGGACCAGATGTTGTCGCAGGCGTGGTACTCGCATCAGATCTTCCGCTCCCCGTATCCCAAGGATCAGCTGCCCTCGGTGCATCATAGGCTGGAGGAGGTGCTGGTCACGCCCGTCAAGATTAACAAGAAGGCAACCGAGTTCTTCGAGTCCCTAGGCCTGAATCACATGTCCGAGTAAGTGGCTCAGCACAGTGGAGAATCCCTTAGACATATTTGATCTTCTTGGTAGCGGCTTCTATGAGCGCTACTCGCGGCGCATGAACGACGACGAGGGCGGGCCGGACTGCAAGTCGCAGGTGTACTACTTTCCGCCGGATGTGGCGCTGCGCTACTGCCCCAAGCTGGACTACAAGAAGATGATGCAGATTCACGGCACTATGGCCGAGCTGCAGTACAACATCTACAAGCGGGAGCTGCCCTTCGGCCTCGACACCGAGCCGTGTCCGGGCTTTGGAGCTGCCCTCGGCGAGACCGCCGTCCTGGCCTCGGGCACACCGCGTCACCTGCACCGCCTTCACATCCTGCTCAACGACAG